ACGTATTATTTGCCGATTACGACTATTTGATGATGAAAGTGGACTGGACCGGTCATATCATCATCTCATACCGATATTTGGAATTTTATGTAAAGTGGAAGAGGCAAATAATACAAGTTAGCTGTTGTAGATTTTGTTGAAGCGATATTTACCTATAGCCTAATGTGCACACGAAACCTTAATAGTTAAAGTAATTAATTTCTTTTCACATAAGATTCTTCTTCTACCAAACAATACTCACATTGATTGTAAATTAGTTCTCTCTTTTCTCTTTCAGATCTCCAAATTGAAAGTTAATTATTATATTCATTGCCTTATTACAAAAATGTATCTTTATTACGCGGAATATCGCATATATTAATTATACATATATATAGGATTCAAAATGATCCAAGTTATTTCATAATCCATATCGATTGAAATGACTTTTAAATACATATGTATCTCCTCGTGCAGCTGTCGGCTCCGGATACACATTTTACTCCGACGAATTCTCCCGATCGTTCTCTTCGCTGACTTTCATCCTCCGATCGAGCGAGGAGGAGAGCCGGCGCCGGCATACATATGTGGCACAGCGTGGTTTCACGCGTTGTAAATTATCCGTACGCGGCCATTCATGCCACCGGCAATGCGCCTTCCTTCCCTAAACTCCGATTGTCCGATCGAGTACGCCATTTATGCCTCTCGCGAGAGAAAATTACGAGGCTATTACGCTTGCTTCGTGTATCCAGTGCTCTGCACGTGCGTGTTCGTTGGCGATAGTGACTTTCATTCGGCATTAGCATTGAGCAGCGAGGAAGGTCGCTTTATCGGCGATCATTAGCATCAAGCGGAGAAAAGATGCAGGAAGCATGTTCGTAGCAGAAACCCTAACTGCTTCTGTCTCAAGACTGCACACTTTCGAGTAATAAATCGGAAGCAAATCACCGGAAGTAAACGGATAAGATTTGAGAGACTGGTTCAGATATTTGAGTATTTATGAGCACGGTTTCTCATCTTATCTTGATAAAGAAAAATAATTGTTGAAAATTAGTTAAAGAAATATCTAGCCTCTTCAATGCATACTTGTAATTTACATTAATACTGATTATACACTAATCGATATTTTATTAATATTATCATGCTATGTGCCAATAATTTTTCTAATTATTTCGAGAACTCTTTTTATTTTATCGAAGTAAGTTTCGATATGATATTTTCATGACATACATATTTTAATAGGTTTACACGAGAGATGTAAGATATAAAATCCTATACATATGCACATTACATATGTAAACTGCTTGGCCCGAATCTGGGGCCGGTTTTTAATAAGGTCCACTCGCTATCTATTGATACCTAATTTTAAAGCTTAAAATTTAATTGACCGCTCATATTTTTTTCTTTATTTGGCTGCCGTAAATATCTTTAAATGACATTTTAAATATTTTCAGAGAAAGGCGAAAAAATTCTCTATAGCTTTCTACGTGAATCATATTAGATTTCTTATATTTATAAGTGTCTTAACGAGAACAATGTTAGTGAAGTTACACGCCTCGGGAGAATAGTACCCTTCATTGTAACGAATCATGCGAAAAGCGGCAGATCGCAATCAAGTCGACAGACCGGTTTTGCCATCGAGCAATTAACGTGGAAGAATTTCGCTTAACTCGCAATGAGACGGGGATTTAAATTAATGACGTGCTATGACGCGAGACTCTCTGTCGCGCGATCTACAAAGCACGAACGCTAAAATATACAGGTCAGTGTCGAATTGAAAAGTACCTCAGATCGATGTTGCAAGAAGCAAAGACCGTTGCACACAAACACATATTGCAAATTACTGTACAAGCATATGCATGCATAGAATATAAACGTGTAAATAAACACTCAAAAAATATTCCGCTGATATAGTTAGACGTTTAGATGTTTTTTTGTATCTGTTAAAACTTGTTTGTCACGTATAGAATTTATAGAAGGAATATATATTCTGTCTCTGTTACTTAGGCAAATGAAGTAAATTACATATGCAATATTACAATACTTGTTTACAATATTACAATATTAATTACAATATTACAATATTAATTACTTAGCTGTTTTAGTTAATTTTTTATACCTAGAAAATTTTTGCTGTACTTGCAATATTATTTTTTGAGTGAATAAGACACCCATTCAATATAAGTGATTATAATACTCTAGAGAATTTTTGTTGGAATTTTTTTTCAGTCTAGACACTTGTTCTGCTATACCAATGCACTTACGTAAGTTTGTGCACGACGTGCTTAAGTGAGTCTTCTTTCGTTGAACCCCACGGTGGGTCAGATAACGGTCAACCGCGTATTCCACTTGGCCGGCCAACTCGCACCTCGATTTATTACTACGTCGACGCGATTTTCATTACTGACGAAAATTTGAGAACCATCTCTACAGCAATTTTCAAGGCAATTTTGGAGGAAAGATATAATTTTAAAGAAGAAATTTTCAAAACTTTACATATATCGCTTTTTTTCGATGATAATTGGAAATTTATCTATATTTTTAGAAAAAATTAACAATTAAAAATCAAACATGTTTTATTATTACAACAACATAGAATAAAATCATCAAGGAATTCGTAATGTCAAAAGCATGTTAATATATAAAAAAAATTGGTAATGTATTATAAATTTAATCTCGTAACATGCACCTAACGCAGTGAAGAGCTCGTGCTGCACTTTCGGATATTCGCGGATATTTCTGTATGTCTTGTTGTTTTTCTATTTTATTATATCTCTTTTCCGCCTGACAACCAACTATCAAAATGAAGATAAAAAGATTGCTGACTCTAACAGCTTGTACGTCTATTTTAGACATTTTGGAAATAAAGATTAATTCATTATAAAATATTTGATCAAACTAGTCATATCAATATACAAGCTGTTAGAATCAGCAATCTTTTTATCTTCATTTTGATAGCCGGTTGTCAGGCGGAAAGATATAAAATAGAAAAACAACTGACAAGACATACAGAAAGCGGGAATATCCGGAAGTGCAGCGCGAGCTCTTCACCACGTTAGGTGCATATGCAACTTTCGCCAAAACTTATTCCACAAAATCAACGCAACCGTCAATTTAATAGATTGGAGTAAAAAATTACTAGGCTCCGTGAAACTTAATTGAAGCTACAAAGTAACATAGCAAACTATAGAGTAAGATTGAAATTATAAAGAAGCAGAATAAACTTTGATCTATATTTCTGGCTTTCTCATCGTGGAAGTAACACAATCGTAAATTATATATAAAATGTGTTGTTATTTTATTAAGACAATATTTAAATTAATATGTATAATGACGTAATATAATTATTATGTTTATATAATAATGAGATATATGTACCTAGTATATTTATAGAATTTCGGATACTCTTTTTGTTATAGGATATTTAAAATGTTTTATTAATATTATAGCTGCGACTTTATTTTACTATATTAATATATTATAATTTATATAAAAAAAATTAATTATAATTTATATAAAGATTTTTTTGCAAAGAAGTGTAACTGTAAAAAAATTATCACGAGAGAAGTGCAGACACGATTGGTACCGAGCCAAGAGATACATCTCGCGCTTGAATGACACGTGTAACCTTGACACGCACGTGCATCGTCTGTGTGCAAGTGTTGTACGAGTATATATCTATTCAGTGTAAATTACTCTATTCGAAATGTCTCAGTCGGCTGCTATTCATTTCCGTTTCAGCTGCTTCAAATGCAATCTCAGTTTTAAATAATAAAATCAGTGATTCATCATAAAATTGCGTGACCTGTTCATGATAAATTACTCAATAAACCCCTCTCGGTAAATTATGTATCATCTGTCAAATTTTCGGTGCTTATTACCAATCGAGACTTCGTGAGAAAAACTTAAATTAATCCAGTTTTACTTTTCCCGTATTTTTCTTTTTCTATTTGGACGCGCATTATTAAATTGCAAAATATAAAAGAAATAAATGAGAAACAAATGCAATTAAATTTAAATAGTTTTGCATCTATATTTTTATTAATAAATATAATAAATATGTATTTATATATCAACTTGTTTAATGACAAAATAAAAAAATCTTGAGGTATAACTGCAAGAAATTTGTTTTGCAAGAGATTTTTACTGATGGAAATTCTAGAAGAAACTTCCGTTACTAGAATCCGCTAACACTATATAAACGAATTCTTGCTCGGAGAATCGAACGAGTTCCGTTAATCGAACGAGATCCGTCCTCGGATGAGACACATCCGTCAATCCATAAGCGAAGATTGTCATTATTTTTTACACGTTCAAAAGGCGTCGAGCAGCGTCTTCGTGCCATTGCTAACCCACTTAGAAGTAACAGTAACAGGTGGAACGATGCCCAAAAATTTCGAGTGTTGTAACAGTGACACCGATCGAACATGTGGTTGCCGGAAGAAAAATAAATCGTCGCTTATTCTTTCTCACTGGACTTTCTCTCTTACGTTACTCTCGATTGAAAAAATGAGATCGCGAAGAGAAAAAAAGATAAATAAATTCGCGCAACTTAAAACGCGAATTTCCGCAAACTTGGCCGGTTCGCATCGCGACGACGCGATTCTCGACGCCTCGTTTGCCGTCGAGGAAAGTGCAAGTTACGCTCCGTCGAATGCAAATTCTTTCCCTGGTAATTGCGTGCACCTTTCACGGATATGTCCGCCGGACGATTAATCGCAATTTTCAGCAGCGAGTGCGTAATGAGCGTGCTCTTTGCTATAAAATTAATTGGAGATTTATGATTGCATTCCTTCATTTTGCTTGTTCGGTTTTTCTTTCCTTGCTTCCTTGCTCGATCAATTTCTATGTGCATAAATGTATGTAACAAACAACATTGATTATAGGTATACTTTTTTATTTTATTTCTATTGATCTTTTTCGATTTTATACATTTTTGTATACAACTAATGTTCTTATATAATTAAAACGTAATATATTTAATATAATATATTAATTACATCTATTTTTTGTGATTACAGGTAACGATACCAAAGAGTGCAAAATAGTATGCGAAGTCAAGGCAGGATATCGTCAAGTTTCATCTTCCTGTTATGCATTTTTCTCTCCACTTCGATATGGATTGTTATCGGTATGTTTACTTTAAATATATATTTTTTTATTACATAGAAAATATATTTAATTTTAATTAACTTTCTGAAGTCATTTTAATATAATATTACCCTGCAAAAACACCAATAAAACTTATTTGTGTGAATAATCTGAATAACAGAACAAGAAGTTAAATTGCGTAATAAGAGATAATAATACTATGAGTATATTAGAGTTTATATAATAGTGAGAAGATAAAAGAGATGGACCGAATTTGATGACTTTTTTACAACTTTGGCACTTCAAATAAAAAAATAGAGCGCGACTTGCTGTACGCGATCTCGTAACCTCTTTTTGCCGAGAAAGTACTTAAGATTTGCATGTGATTCGATCGATTATATTCATGGGAAATTATGCGACTTACCTCGAAACAGCGAGTCATCGGCTATTTCGAGCGTAACGAAAAAAATTGTACGTTTTCAAGGTAAGATAATCTGCGGCATATACTTTCTGTGCTTCATGGGAAAAATCGACATACTTTACCAAGGCAACCTTCCAGGATGGTAACTGATCGATTATGATTAATCGCAGCGTGAAAAATGGATATTTCCTTCCGCATGAAACGATCCATACCACAAGATTGTTCATTTATTTTTTATATCGTCTAAGTACATCTACAATCTATTAGAAAGTCTTTAATATCACACGTCTGGAGAAAAGACTCATCCTTTTACTCCCAAATATCAATTTCATCTCAATTTGCAACGAGCAATTTAATCTGCAGAAATCTTATTCGTTTCACCAGGAGAATTAAAAACACTGGAAACTGGTTGAATTTACTATAATATATTCACGCGCTTTTTATAGATTTTTTATATTATATTATATTTAATACTTTGATTTCAGATTTGTTATATTTTTTACATTATATTCTTTTATATTATATTTTATGCTTTGATTTCAGATTTGTTTAGCGAAAAAATATAATATAATTAAAATTAATACATTATATAATATATGATATACGCCATATAAATTGTGCATGGATACATTAATTGCAAGTTATCTAAGAGAAAAAGATACTGATCTCGCATCGCGCTGAAACGAATTTGCAATTATTCGTGTCATAAAGCCGCGGCGTATAATTCCCATCAGCACTTCCTGCCAAACAAGAAACGTTTTTCGCACAACGGGTGCTTCACGCAAATTGCGAAATTGACTTCGCGAGAATCGGATTGCGCAATTTGTGGAACAATTCGCCATCAGAAACGAGAATCGTGGCATCTTCCGGCCGCGGACAGCGGAAGCAGCCGGGCATTTGCCTCGCTTTTGATTGGTCGCAGCTTTTAATTAAATGAATGCTTTTCCGGTTTTTTCGACAGGAAATCCCGTTCGCCACAGGACGAGACGGGAAGCAGAGATAGCGTCCACCAACTGGACCGCTCTGGCCGACGAATGGATCGCGGCGAAGGCCAGGGCCGCCGAAAAGATGGACGTCGCTCTGCTGCCGTTCAACGAGAGATTTCGGGAATTACCGCCTACAGTTGAGACTTTCGTGGTTAACGGCACCAGTTCAGAACAATTAGAACGAGTAAGAAGGAATATTTTTTATTCACATTTATATCCCCGGTGAATAAAGTGACATTTATATACATATTTTAATTATAAATCAGTTATATAAAATCTTTCTTTATCAATTAGAAATTTCCTCTGATACACACGATGTAACTGAAAAAAAAACACATATGAAGCTATCAGATTCTGTGGTCAATTTGGAAACAATTTTTCCTCAGCAAAAATGTTAAAGGAAATCATCATTTTTGTATGCTCTCAATTTTTGCCATCTTTGTAATTAAACCTTAAATTAAAATTCTAATGAAGTAAACTTTACCTGAAATTAACTAAAGAATGTAGTTTTATTAATATATTAATTCTACGAAGTTCAGTTTTTCTGAAAAGCTCTTCTTTTTCAATTGATAACTTGAAAATTATTGGTGTCTCGACATTTTCACTGAGGAAAAATTTGATGGTGTGCTCTATACATGTTTGTTCAGTTACACTCTGTATATAAATATTACGAAAAAATTGCTTATTTTTTATATGAAAATTAACATAAGAACTTGTACCAACAATATATCATAAAGTGCACTTTATAAATATTCACAAATCTTTGGAAGAGACAGACAGACGCTATAATTGCTTGTTAAAATAATTTTGAAACTTATACTGAAAATTTTACTATTTATGTCGTTTTGTGTAAAAAAATTCTTAATATCGACTAGCATACATAATATATTCTCTGTTTCTATATTATTTTACATTACAAAATGAATATAATAATTATAATAACTTCAAAAATATTTTTAAAAAATTCTAGAATGATAAAAAGATAACGCAATAGCTGTCAAACACTTTTTACATTTTTATCGTGTACATTGCATAAACTCGATGATTAATATTAATACGGCTTACATCGTTTGATCTGTTTCTACTTTGCGTGACAGTAGTTACATGTCGAACGCAATCAGACCGTTGAAAACGCATTCGACATACTCAATTAATAAAAAAAGTAGCATCTATCGACTCAAGCCTCTTCCGTAAACAGAAACTTGTGAAACGCGTATTATTCTATAGAATTATTATCGCATAAATAAACCGATATAAAATCGATGATCGTGAAGTGAGAAAAGACCATAAACTTTCCATTCGTTTGGATTTACTTTATAATAAGAAATGGGAAATTGGTTTAATCGATACATTTTCACTCTTGCATCCACATATCGAATCTTAATCAGTGTGTTTCCTCTTAATGCGTGAAATTAATTTAGAAAAGCATTAATCAACCGCAAGTATTGATAACGAATCAACGAAGTATATCATATGTAATTAATATACGCAAAGATTACTGCATCAAAAAATTGTGAAACTGGTGGATCAAATTGTGTTTAATTAGCCAGAAACTCTTTAAAGTATATTGCTAGATGTACATACATATATGTATATAAAAATCCTCTAATCGTGCGAAGAGACTCATCGTGCAAATTTCGAAATTGTCATCATTGTTCTGTACCTTTTCGCGACCTCATCTTCCTCTTTTTTTTCTTTTTGTTTTATTCAATGGGAGGGACGACCATGTCGTTGCGGCTCTCACTTTCAGTGCCAAAATACTTTCACCAACGCGACCATCGACAAACACCGTGAATGCAAGTATGTACATACTTCCTATCCTTCCTATTCGTGTGCGCTTATACGCATCGTGTATAATGTGGTGTCAATGACTTTCGCTCGCGAAAGTCGCCCACGATCATCGATATCATTCGTCATCGCTTGCGTAAAAGAAATCGCATCTATAGATGTATCCACGTCCGCACGCGATTGCTCCCTTCGAACTCAGAAAAGGTGCTCGTTTATTTCGGGATCACGATCCAAGAAGGAAAGTTGCATGATTAAAGGCACGCAATAAGCGACACGAAGAAATTCGTTTCACTTAATTCGAATTGTATTTCGTGATGTATTATGATGTATAGACCATAAGCACGCACACATTGATTAATTTTCTGACGGTTTTCGTGCCTTCCTGTAATTAATAGGATTTCAACTGGGACGTATTATTAATTCAAACACCTATTTTATAATTATTAAAGTTGATTTTTATCGTAAACAGTTGGGAAACATTTAAATATCTGAAAAATAAATGAAATAATTGAAATAAATTATATCTCTGTGTGAAAATATATGTAATCATAAGAAAAAACATCAGAAATTTATAAATATTTTCTACATAATAATTAGAAAGATACTTACAAGTATAATTAATAGTGTAATACATAATGCAATAAAATTTTTATGCAATCATTATCGCACATTAAAATGACTATTATTAATTTTATTATTTTATCAACTACTTTACTTGAAACGTTATATTGTATTAACATGATCATGTATACTTAATTGTAGTTAAATTACTCGCGGATGCTATGGGATATGGAAACAGTCCAGCCAAGTGGTCATTTATCCGGATTCGTTGACAAAGCTCTTAAACTGCTAGATCTGAGACAAGTGATGATGGAAGTTGAAACCTCCGTAATGTCTAAAGTATCTTGCACCGCATGCAAAGTAGGCGCTGGCTTGCTGCAGCATTATATAAAGGTCGGCAAGAGCGACGAAGAAATCATGGCCAGCATTTATCAGTTTTGCGTATCACTTAATATACAGAGCGCCCGAGTCTGCCACGGAGTCACCATGCTTTTTGGGGTAAAGCAATAATTGTTTATGCATATATCTTTATATATTTATTTTTCAATTATGAAAAAATATTATTTATATAAAGATTAATAAAAATTGAAATTAAAAATAAATTCATGTATAGGGAGAGGTGATCTACGTGCTGAAACAGGTGAAAATGGGTCCAGCGCAAATCTGCAGCTTCGTGATCGGCGACGCGTGCGACGACGCATTCAATCCTCTACATGAATGGGAGGTGGCTTTTCCACCTGTCAAGAAACCGCCGATCAAACCGCCGATACCGCCGCAGGAAGGCGCGCCAACCTTCAAGGTGCTGCACATCTCCGACACTCATTACGACCCGTATTATCAAGAGGGTGCGAACGCCGAGTGCAACGAGCCGCTCTGTTGTCGACTGACGAACGGCGCACCTTTGACGGCTTCAGCCGCTGCTGGACGATGGGGCGATTACAGAAAGTGCGATACCCCTAAAAGAACAATTGACCATATGCTTAAACACATCGCTGACACGCATTCGGTAAGTGACACGTCCGAGCAATTAATTAAATTAGCATATGAAATTGACGAAGAGACAACGACACGTTTATTCTTCTGGAGTAAATCTTACGTGCATACAAAATTTTTTAACAATACGTGTGTTTTGGTGTTAATGAAAAAAAATACAATAAAGAATTATTTATATTAAATATAATAAATAAGATACTTTTTGTGCAAGCAGAAAAATTAATAATAGCGTTGACATAAAACTGGTGGGGAAAGTGGGAATGGGAAATAAATACTTTTCTTCATGGTTTAAAAAATTTCTAGGACATTGATTACATCTTGTGGACGGGTGATTTGCCGCCTCATGATGTATGGAATCAAACGCGAGAAGAAAATTTAAAGGTGTTGCGTAATACGGTCGCGCAAATGGTAGAAATGTTTCCCGGTATACCGATTTTCCCAGCCTTAGGAAATCACGAAAGCGCGCCGGTCAACAGGTATATCCGCTATATATCTACTTAAACTCGCCTCCATCTCGGAACCTCTCATCTTGGAACACTGTCACTTTCACATTTCTAGAAAATATTATTTCAGAGATGATTCACATTTGCAACATATTAACATATTATATATTTGCAGCATATTAACATATTATATATTTGCAGCATATTAACTTGTGCAAATTTAGAAAACTATTTTTTTTTATTTATTTTATACTCTATTTTATATACAGATATTTCAGGATTTAAAAACAGAATTAATATAATAAGATAGGACATAAAAGAAGAAGGAAATACTGATTAAGCTATTGTTAAATTTTTCCTATCTGATTAATTAAATTAATGACTTTAGAAAAATTATTTTAGAAACATTCGGCAACATTAATCGAATTGTAATGATTTCTATTACATTTTATTACTGTTTATATACTAAAATAATTAGAATAAAAACTCTTCTGTAGAAATAACAAATATGTGGTTCTCTATAAAAAGAAATATTAACATATTCCTGAAATTAAATTCTTTCTAAGATAAATAATGCAATTAAAACACCTGCTTTTTAGTTTTCCACCACCCTTTGTACCTGAAGAAAACAGTATCTCATGGCTGTACGACGATCTCGATAAACAATGGCGACGTTGGCTGCCAGCTGGTGTATCGCATACCGTCCGTCGAGGTGCCTTCTACTCCGTCCTGGTTCGACCAGGTTTCAGGATTCTTTCAGTGAACATGAACTATTGCAATAATAAAAACTGGTGGTTACTGATCAATAGCACGGATCCAGTCAGCGAGCTACAATGGCTCGTATATGAGTTGCAAGGTGCCGAGATCAACGGCGAGAAGGTACACATAATTGGCCATATTCCTCCTGGACATTCGGATTGCCTTAAGGTGTGGTCGAGAAATTACTATCACATCATCAATCGGTTGGTACTTGATTGTTTAAACCGCTACTGTAAATTACCATCTAGTCAATGCATTGTGTTGAATGTCCTTCCTCTATTTTCATTTAGCTATGAATCAACGATCACGGCCCAGTTCTTCGGACATACGCATTATGACGAGTTCCAGATATTCTATGATACATCAGACCTTGGTAGAGCGCTCAGCATCGCCTACGTTGGTCCTTCAGTCTCGCCATATTACGATCTGAATCCCGGATATAGAATTTATTACGTTGATGGAGATCATCCAAAGACTACGAGAGTAAGTAAAATGACCATTTTTCTCATTACTATGATTAATAAATTTCACGCTGGTGAAATTTGAAGTCGAACAATTCTATGTGCCTTTTTCCTCAAAGAAGTTATTTATTTATTTCCGAACTAATGCGCGTATTCTAGATGGTCATCGATCACGAGAGCTGGGTCATGAACCTCAAGGAAGCAAATCTGTACGATTATCCAATCTGGCATAATTGTATAGCGCACGACAAGCCTATCAAATGGCATCACTTTTGCCGAAGGACTGGGATTCCCTGATCGACAAAATGACCAACGAGCCAGCCCTCTTTGATCTCTATTACAAGTAATTTTATCTGCAATATGACAATGTGCACCGTATTTTTTATAAAAAAGAACAAATATTTTTTAATTAAAAAATTAGAAATCTATAGTTTCACATACATAATATATTGATAAATTTATTATATGAAAATATATTCCCTTATTGTTAGATCGATCGATTTTAATATTATAAATGAAGATATTTAATGACAAATTAATGAAGAAAAATAAGGCACAAGATTTAATATTCTCCCAAAAGAAGTAATGTGATATTTGTTTTTGATTCTTACAGACATTACTATAAGAATTCTCCAGTGCGACCGGCATGCAATGACGAATGTCGCAAGAGATTACTCTGTGATCTGCGTAGCGGAAGAAGCCACGACCGGAAGGCGTTATGTCAGAGTTTAGAAGCGAGGATCGATGTCGAGACTAGAACGGGCTGGCGAGCGTGGATCTATAAAGGACTCGCATTATCGTATGTAAAAGACATGTGGATCGAACTTTACTCCGGCAATACTAAGACTAATGAAGTTAATTAATAATATTACTTCGAAAATTTTAATGTCAATAATTTGACAATATAGTAACTGTAGATATAATCTACAGTTAGACTTACTACGATCTAATTATAGTTATTAAGTTTATAATTTATCTAATTTTAGATCAGATCTTCTCTTTTTTCGTTTCTTATTTTGAAGGAATTTGTTTTTTTGAACGCGTAGTTTTATAGCGATATGGCTATAATTGCCTTATTTATTTTTTTTAAATTTTGTTATCTGCTAATAATCTTAATTTGAAGCAAATAAATCAACAATTTAAAGCGATATTTTTTAGAAGTCGAAAAAAACAACTAATGATAACAAGAAGACATATTCTAACAATTGAGTCTAACAAAATTTACAATTAGTTTAATAAAAATCTGAAAGCTTTAAATATATTAATAGTAGCACCAATAATCCAGCTTGACTGCGAAGCGATGTATTAACGATCCAAATCACAGAGAAATATCAATATCGATAATATAGAGATAAATAACTAAAATCCGATCTTAAATTGAAGAAAGAGAGGAAATATATACGAATTGCTCAATTAAAATATATCAATTATTATGTATTAATATAACATACACATTATTATATTAATCAATATAATATATATTAATATATTATACATATTATCACAATATATAGTCGCGTCCCCTGATGATTATATTTGATGTTTTATAATTCTGGAGACACGACTACATGTGATTTAGATATAATTCATTTTTTATACACATTACAAAATAAATTAAATTTTTATCTATTAAAGTTATTAAATGTTGCCATAATATTTTTATTGTCGTTTATTAAAAATAATTGCAAGAAGCAAAAAATACAGTACACAAGCGCGAAAAACTCAATTTAATGATCAATTTAATTTGTGACGAATTAAATTTTTTTCGTTGTTTAACTAAAATAACGTAATATTAATAATATTAAATATTACTGCGAAATATAGTAATTATAAGAAAGATTAAATTAATTGTGTTCTATTATATAAGACGGAATAGTTATTATATCTCTGAAGATAAAATTGGTTTTATTGTACAAATTTTTACAAAAAGTTTCAATACCAATGGTGATTATACATCTATGTTATAGAAGTTGAATTGCTCATATATTTTATTTGCTTGTATTTTATTAAATGTTGTAGAAAATATATTTTTTCGCGCAACACCTTTCGTTTTCTTTTTGCTTAATTATAAGAATTTATTTATAATATACAGACGCTAAATTTTAGAGTATACACAAAGAGAGACATACGCTATTAATAATTTAATAATTAATAAGTTGTAAATCTTTATTCAACAGCTCTCTAGGAAAGAAAGAAAATGCTGACTGATTGCATTCAATAATACAATCGAAACCTCAATTAATATTGCTTCGTCTAGAATGCATGTATGCATCACACTCGAACGAGTTTTCTATAATCAAATGTAAATATGTATTTTATTGCATATGTATATGTATGATATTGCATAACACTTGCATGAGAGATTGAAAATACTAATGTCTTCAGTGATAAGAAGAAATTGCAATAAAAGGAAAATCTCCGATTCTTCGCGTGTGTTTCAGAAAGTTCTTCACAACACATGCATCGTAATTGAAAGCAATCGCGTTTTTATGCAAGCTCCTTCGAGTGTCGTCTGTATTAGAATAAAAATTATATAGAAACACGTACATATAAACGAACAAAATATTATTACGCAATTTTAACTATAAATATATACGCTCTAATATTATCTAAATATTCTTCTCTAATGAAAATTTTTTCAATAAAATAAATAACATGAAACACGGTGTTGGGAACTCAATTGACCAACTATTGTAAATACTATACTGTACCTTTTAACCATTATTTGGATTAATTTCAGCAAAAACGCATTAACGTTGCGTAAGTTGTTTCACACAATGCGCAAAGGTATTTAAAGCTTTTCTTAGGCACACTTAATTTGACAAGCGCATCACAACAACACTCTTGAGCCGGCTTTATTTAAAGTCGAAAATATCACGTAACTTGTATATATCTAGAAGTAGAGAAGGTAATCTTGTTTGTGGTGATGGAATATATAACAGCCGATGATTGACATTTCTATCTCCCCGCACTATATAGTAAGTAGCATGAATATATATACATATATAATATGCATATTTAAAAGGAAACTTTATATACATCCAAATGAACCAGCTGCATAATTTTCACAGATAGCAATCATTTAAAATACATTACTGCATAATGTGTAGCTATATATATAATCTCTTTTTAAAATTATTTTGAACATTTTAAAAGAAAGATTTGAATAATATTTTATTAATAATTTTTAATATATAATTTAAAAATTTCTTATATACATAACATTAAAAAATGAATGATGAATAGAGATCATTATTCTCAATAATTTCAATAATATACTTATGTATATATATATAACGAAAATTTAGCAAAATTAATTGTAGCTAATTGCAGTTAATAAAATTAATGAATATAGTTTTCATGTGGCTGGTTTTTTTATTTTGTATTTTTTTTGTGGCAAAGTTAGGCTGTTATAAATATTTTAGCTTATTTAGAATAGTTGTTTCACGCAATACACGCTTGCACAACAATCTTTGCATCTTGGAAAAGATTTAGAAGGAGAATCTATATATAATATTAAACATGTGATAAGAATCATAATTCGTTTTCACTCGGAGAAAATAAGTTTTTATATTTGTTTATATATTTTTATTTGTTTATTGATGCGCGAAAAAAATAATATTCCTCATTTTTATTTTTGGCAATTAAGATAATATGAAAATGTAATTAAAATTTTTGGAATTGCAGAATGTCGGTGGTGATGGCCATCCCCAGATTTGCGTACAATCTACCAAAGTACGTTTTAGGACTGGGTTAGAACAAGAAAACCGATGCTAAATGCAGATGTGTGACTCAATTTGTGATGTTAAATTATAAAAATATTCACGACGTGGCATTTAAGACTCGAATTTCGATGCCGTTAACATCCGACGATGATTATTCGTGGAAACTGAATATCGCATTTCAACTCGTAAATGCTCTCATAGAATTTAAACATGCTAAATTTTTCAAAATCGAAGATTCTACAAAAATGAATGAATCGAAATAGATTAAAAAATATAATATTCAGTTTTTTGAAAGAATCAGTGGACGAAAGAAATTGAAAAATTAATTTATTGTGCGAAGTTAAAAATAAGTTTTCTTAATCTTCAGAACCGTATATTAATTTAAAAAATTTTGTATATAATACAAAAAGAATCAGGCTCTAATTTGAAAATTAAGAATTCGTAACTTCGTTAAATAAATTCATATAATTGGTTTTTTAAATAAATTAATTTACACAAATGAGCAAAGGGCTCTAAAAATAAATAGGGAAAACGAATAGTATATTACGATTACGTAATTACACATGTACATTAAGAATAACATTATATTTGAACAGCAGACTTGCGTTTACAAAAGATAAACGTGCGATCTTCTCACTTGGAGAAATATGATCGTGAAATTGTGTGCTTTGAATCAAAGATTGAAACAATAATATTTCAATGAGTTCAGTTCCTGAAATAGATATAAGCGAGAAAAAATATCTTACGTCGCACTTGATCTATTTGAGTGATTATTTTATTATCGCGTATCTCTGCGCAAATCTGAGCTCAGCGAAATTATAAATAAGTTTTCAATATCTCCTTTGTGAGTTCTTTCTAACGAGCGTTGTATATAATATGTAAATATATATGCAAATATTATGATCGCGCAGATTAATATTTTCTCTTTCATTAGTTAATTATTAATTAACGAGCGATTAATTCATCAACGGCACGTACTTTCACGTGAAATCATTCAGCTTATAAATAGGTCAACAATTAAATCCAGAATATATAACTAAGAATTCCATTCTGAGTCATCTTTGCAATGAAATATTTAAAATATATTGCAATGTGAATTTACAGATCGAAAGCCGCGAATGCTCCCAGTGTTCCTAATATTTCGATTAATCTACGACCTAGTCCAAGATGCGTGTTGATTACCGTTGACTATATATTTTATTCATATATATAGTATAATAAATATATATCGCAGTTTTCTCGTTATTGAAATAAACTAACAAACAAATGCTAAATTAAGTTATTTTTAAAAATTCAGCAATTACTGGTGATAAAAATTACTGGTGATAACATATTAAGGATATATATAAAAATATTTTAATAAAAAAAAAATTATGTATATGTACCTTCGATATTATGCATCTGAAAAAATTGATCAATATATATAAGTATATATATAATATGACATATATTAAATTGTGCAGAGATGAATGAAAGTTAAGTGTATGAGCGAAATTATATTGTACATAAAGGAAAACTTTTATTTATTCACAAGTGATGTTTTCGCTGACATTGTTGTTTTATATTAAATATGTGTTTTAATATATCCAGTTTTATTCCTGTTCTTTTCTTCCTGATAAGTTAATAATTTTTTTATTTTGTATGCAATGCTATAATTATAAATATAATATAGAATGTTTTGTAATTTAATTGCAACTTTTTTTTAATGTACAAATTGTTCTCTTTATTGTTCTTATTAATCCATTATTTAAAAATGCATATAAAGTCGATACTTTAACTCGAAAAATCGTTATAATAAAGATCGATTAATTATCGATGTAACGTCGATAATTTGTCGACCTTGAAAAATATTATATAGCTGCACTATATGAAACATAACCTGTCTTAAATGAAATAATACTAATTGTAAATAGTATTCAAAGTGAGAAAATGTCGGTTTATCAGGAAGCAAAAGTAATTAATTTTTATATTTTATTCTAAATCTTTAATTCTAAAATCTTAGTAATCTTTATATTATTAAGAATATATATATAGGGAAATAAATATTTGTGAATTTTTTCAATATATTATACATATTGTTTTTTTATTAACAAATATGAATAATCAATGTTTACTTAGCAGATTATCCTGACTCTATATATTGTTACTGATTCTGACTCTACATATCTTCATATCGGCTGTGCTGCTGCCTTGAAGCCTGCTACGTTGTTACATGCAATGGCAAGGAAACATTTACCAAGTGAAATAAAATATAAAGAGTTTTCTGTCACCAGTTATAATATTAGTAAGTATAAACAAGTGTAATATGACGAAAGAATTTTGTTATCAACATTGTTTTTTATAGATGAAAGAGTTGAACGAGCAATGGAAGAGTCTCCGCTGCAGATATCGCATACTTTACAATTCTGTTTACAATCGGATGGAACTCAAAGGTATGCAACCCCATCACACATAGCAGTCTTTAATCGCAAATTTAGTTCAGAAATCTCCTTTCTTTATGCAACATGAAATGCACAAAAACTATGACATGGTTATTAATATTTTGTCATTAAGCCAGAGGAAAAATCTAATTTTAATATATATTTTCCCTAAAGGAGATGAACTCAACATACATGCAGATCTAGATAGTTTAAAGACCATCATAGGAAATTTAAAAACAATTTGAGAAGATGTACTGACTGAGAAACTGGATATTTCCTTTGAAAGATTTGAAATATTATCATGCAGTGCTGGTTGTACCTGATATCTATCATTAATCTGATATGAAGGAATTGACTATATTTCTGTTGGATGAAATTGGTCGAATTTTGGTCACTATATTTTGTTACAAGTCAGTTTGTACTCGTAATCCTGTTAATATTTATTTTTACATATAGTCTTTACAAAAAATAGTTTCATAAATTCATTTTATTATATTTCTTATATGTTTTATTTTAATCAACTGTTATATTTCAACAAATAATTTCAAACTGAAATATAATTGCTATTATGTTAATAATAGGATCATGTAGGTGCACTATTTGATACAAGTTTGGATTTTAAAAGGCTGATAGATGTTAAAACACAGAAGATATCAAAATTCATATGGAGATCGAATAAAAATATATTTCTATTACGTTGATTTAAATATATGCGGCTTATAGGAGAAAGAAAGTCAAAATAACAGACATATATCTTACAGGTATTTTAAAATTCGCTCTTATTCTAAAAAAGATTACAACTTTTTCTTTTTCGCGTGTAATGCGCGCTTTGTAATATTCTAGTATTATATTAAAAAAGAGATGTATTACATTTTTTTATATTATTTTTTATATTATGTATGATTAAAATGTTAATTTTTTTTCTATATTTGGGATCTCAAATTTTGATTAAGATAATGCATAAGTGGAGAAAAATTAATTAACCGTCTAATATAAAAAAAGATATATTTTTTTTAATATTAGACGGTTGATTAATATTTCTCCATACATGCATTATATAATCTAATCAAAATTCGAGATCCCAAATATAGAAAAAGAATTATAAAACGTTTTAACGATACTTAAAAATTTACATTAAAATTTATAAAAAAATATGGAAATTAAGGAGTGCGTACATAAAAAGAAAAAAAAACAATAGCACTAAATATAATAGTTTTAAAGACTACGTCATTTAATTTTAACTTGTCACATCCGTGAAATCGTAATTAATGCCAGAGCGATATTGCTTTTCCAACATGTAAAAGCCAATTCCCGATTGGTCGTCCATCGCGCATTCGCGTTACAACTAGCTCCTTTTATATAGTCTAACATACAACTCCTTCGGTGACTATCCGCGATATTGCATACACGTCGTAGTACGGAGTAGACGTGTATTTCGTCGTCAGGATATTCATGTAATTGCATGACTACGCCGTAAGTACGTTTTGCAATACATCTCGATGTGTCCTTGATATACCAGAATTGTTTTCTATCGATCGTCCACGGGGCGGAAGCATGGGTGACATTTGACAAGCCGCTACTTGTCATCGTCGCGATATATATGTAAATGTATATATATATATATATATTGTATATCAAAATACCATAGGGCACCGTATGATTTTTATTTTATATTGATTTTTATTTAATAAAAATTTATAGGTGCGCCTCTCATCCTACATATATATATATATATATATATATATAATTCAATTGATGATTTTTCTCGCAGTAAACATTTTAAATTCAATTAACAATTAATTTACGAATCAAAATTCAATAAATGATTGTTTCTTGAATAAGGATGACATTTGTCTCAACACGTCGATAACTGGAAATTGAAATTTCACAGGATATTGCCTCCTGCATCGTAGGATATCCATTATGCCGTCAGTTCGAAGGATGATCCTGGGCCACGTTGTATCCGGTTTGTACAATAAGATGAACCGCCGAAAGAAATTGGACGGTGACATGCTTGAGACTCCAATGAAGAGATGTCTTTCTACCTTTGACATCACGTTGCTTGGTGAATATACTTTTCATTCCTTTATATAATATACCTGCAATTTGAAAAAAAATTAGAAGGGAAAAATTCTTAAGCAGCCGAAAAAAACAAAAATTTTATGAAAAGAATAAGATGTTATTTTCACATGCGATAAATCTTTTATTTCAACATAATTAATTGCACTTATATATGTATGTATACGCGATTTGCTATTATGTGCGCGCGTTATCAGGGTGATGATAAACGTAATAATCCGGAATAATAGCCTCGAGTGTCCGAATAAGATAGTCAGAGTATTAGTCAACGATTGCATCAAATGTTTAAAAATATAATGAAACTGTATATGTGATAATGAAAAATATCTCACGCGGATGTTTGCGACTTGAATAAAATTGATCCTGCAAAAGACACTGATTAATATTAATTGATTACGCTTCCAGGTGTGGGTCACATGGTCGGTGCCGGAATTTACGTGCTGACGGGAACGGTTGCACATGACACGGCTGGACCTGGTGTAATCTTCAGCTTTCTCGTGGCTGGTTTGGCTTCCATTTTGGCGGCACTCTGTTACGCCGAGCTCGCCACTCGAGTGCCAAAAGCAGGCAGTGCTTATGTCTACACGTACGTCTGTATCGGCGAATTTTGGGCTTTCATCGTGGGATGGAACCTTATTTTGGAGCACATGATTGGTAAAAAAAACCTATTCCTTTATAAAGAGATTTCTAAAGCATTTATATTAATACAAGTAAAATTAAGTTGTATAGCAATAAGAAGAAAAATTTAGAGTTAAAGTTATTATTAGAATTAAGAATTTATTATGTATTATTATATATAATTATGTAAATTATATTTATATAAAGAAACTATATTAATGATATAAATAAATAAATATATATATATATATATATATATATATATATATATATATATATACTAATATTTAATTATTATTTTATTCTATTTATTTTACTAATTTTGTTTTTAAGGATCTTTTAACAAAAAAGCTTTACCACATTAGGCGCAGCATCCGTAGCAAGGGCCTGGAGTGGATACGTGGATTCATTAGTCGGCGGTGTGATTAGCAATTACACCAACGATCTGATGGGTGGATATAGGATGGGAGAACCGCTGGGTACCACCCCGGACTTTCTGGCCAGCGGATTATGTCTGCTTTACGCTATGCTTTTGGGAATAGGGGTGAAAGCCTCGGCGACGGTGAACTCGTTATTGACCATTATCAATCTCGCAGTGATGGGATTGGTTGTCGTTCTGGGGATTTATTATGCCGATATTGCGAACTGGAGTAGCCAGAAAGGGGGTCTTCTACCATTTGGTTTCGGTGGCGTCATCACAGGCGAGTATCCTTCATTCATTTAGCTTGGATAAATCAAAACGATACAATTTTTTATTCTTTAAACGCCATAAAATGCTTACATATATTAATTAAACGCAGTAGAGAAATTGTATAGAGGATAATATATTGAATTCTGACCTGATTTTCTTTTTATTATTCAGGCGCAGCAACATGTTTCTATGCCTACGTCGGTTTCGATTCGATCGCAACTGCTGGAGAAGAGGCTCGTGATCCTGGACGAAGTATTCCTCTGGCGACGATACTTTCTATGGCGATAGTTACCATTGGATACATGATGGTCAGCGGTGCTCTGACGTTGGTCGTACCGTATTGGGCGATCAATCCTATCGCAGCTCTTCCGGAAGCTTTTTCGTCCAGAGGTATCCCGTGGGCTAAATATGTGATAAGGTAAAAAATTAAAATTTTATTCCTTTTTCTATTGATTTTCTATTATCTTATTTTATAATGCTTTGATTGTCTTTCGAGAAAATTTTATGCTTATAAAAATACCACGGTTATATCGTTTTTCTTTTTTTAATATATACAGCATATATATTTAGTGGTATCGAGAATGCAATCAATAATTTATTGCAATATTCGAAGAATTAATTTAAATAAATTATAATTCCGCTTTATAGATCTATTGTATATAGGAAAAAAGTATTTTATAATGAACTATAATTATTTTATAATTAAAATTTACACACGCATACATTAATTAACCTTTGGACTTTGAATATCCAGCGTAGGTGCTCTTTGCGGAATGACAACGACGCTCTTCGGATCTCTCTTCTCTCTCCCGAGGACGATGTACTCCATGGCGAGCGACGGTATGCTATTCGGTTTCCTGGGTCGCATCAACGAGCGAACGCAAGTGCCGATATGGAATCTCATCATAAGTGGACTGGTCAGTGCCTTAATCGCTTTACTGTTCGATCTCCAACATCTGGTGGAGTTTATGTCGATCGGGACTCTGCTCGCATACACCATCGTTGCAGTCAGCGTCATCCTGTTGAGGTATCTGCCTGAGCAACAGCCGTCCGATTCTAGCGTCAACACACCGAGCAGTATGTCCTCGCCAGTCACGGAGGAAGCGGATTCCAGCAGCAATTACAGCAGTGTGGCATCCGTCAAGTCTGGAGTGAGTACGCTTTTACTAAAAATATAACGATTTAAAATATTTTATTTCTGTTAAGTATAAATCTTAATATAACAACGGTACACTGAGCAATTTTTAGATTTGTTTTCAAATAATAAATCGTCCGTACAGGTACTATACGAAGGAGCTGGTCGATTCAAACCACGATACGCCTGGATGGAAGAGTGGCTAGAGGATTACGATACTAGACACATCATAACCGCCTGTCTACTTATTTATATGATAACCTGCGCTTTCCTCGGTACTTTCCTAATGCTAGTGTTCGAAACAACAGTTCCGTTCACGAAGAGCGAGTACCTTTTCGCGGTGATTTATCTTCCGCTACCCATCGCGAGTAAGTTTGTCTCAAACTTCTCTCAATCTTGCCGGCACAATTGTATCGCTTGTTTTCATTGATTTCGATTATATTTATCGTAAATTTATTCGCAGGTCTTTTTGTGATTGGTGCTCATAGACAAAATCCACCCAATGGAAAGTTCCGAGTACCTCTGGTGCCCTTGATACCAGCGCTAAGTATCCTCTTCAACATGGGTCTGATAATGCACTTGTCTTCAATGACGTGGCTACGGTTTTTCGTGTGGATGACGATCGGTAAATTAATAATAATTTAATATTATTTGTAAGAAAATATGACGACATATTAAAAATTGAATTAAATATTAAATTTTATTATTTAATTTATAATTCGACTTCTCTCTTTTCCACTTTTTTTCAGGAATGTTGATCTATTTCCTGTACGGCATCCATTACAGTAAAGAAGCAACCACTATCCCGAATTCGCATTCCATCTTGATGGCTACCTCAGAGGCTGAAAAAGGCACAAAATGGGGATCGACGTTGCGAGCCAGCCCAAAAAGTGACAAAGCACCTATTTTGGACGACCAGGACCTTGTTCACTAAAACCAAGTTACGTATTTTCATCATCATTGTTTTCCTTATTCAATTATCTCGTTAGTGGAGTCGCGGAAATCGTGCAAATTTTAATACCGAAGCAAAGCAGCTTTTAGCTACCGACAACGATGCACAAATGCAGGCTAATGCAACGAAATGCGGATACACGATACTATTTAATTTCTTCAACAGTTTTTTATTAACTGTAATTAACGCACAATTGATATTCAGCTATTGAAATGTCACAATTTATTTATTTCGTATGTGAAATCTATTTTTTACCATTCCGTTTATTTGAAACCTCTATCTTTGTATTTCGGCGACTCCACTTTACACATTGTTGTTTGAAATTAAAAGTTTAAACATAAAATACATCTATTTTATAAACATCGATTTTTGCAAAAGATGTACGAACTCGTACAACTCTTCTTGAAAGTTTTGTCTGGTACAAAAACTATATTTTTGGTATACTTATAGCCTCATCTAGTCCAATTACAAGAGTGATTCTGAGATATAATTTTAAGAATTGTTGATCAAGGAAATATTATCGTCGCACGCGCATTCTTTTTTTTTCCCAAATGTGATAATTATCATATAGTCACAAAATTAATCTATTTTATTTTTTTATATTTTTTTTAATATTATATTTTAAGAGAAAACACTCCATGTTGTATAACTTGACGAAAAAAAAACTTAAAGAAAAACATATATATTCAAATTATGCACTAATGATTTTAATTCTCATGGAGGAGAACTTATCATTTCTTTTATTCCATACAATTCTATTTTAATGAAAATATTGGTAAGTATGATTTGATTATATACATATGAAATATTCTCTTTCCTTGTCTTCCTTTCCTTCTCTTTTGTTGTGACGAAAATGACTATGCTATTTTATCATGAATTATATTAAATTATATTCAACAAATATATATTCTCCCAATGTAATAGTGAATGATAAATATAGATTAGAGCAATGCGAACGCGCAAGTTTCAAAGCGACACATATACATATATATCTTGCAATTATAATTATTATTAACTATGATGCATATTTTAAAATGTATGGAGTAATTTTGAACAAAATAGACTGTTAAGAATCGATTATTTATTTACAAAAACATATTTTTTATATGTATCTTTTTAATTCTGCAGTTATTTCATTAATGAAAATGTGTGAGAACATCTCTACAAGTATATAATAAATTAAATGTGCGATCAAAAGTTAAATTTGTCGCAGTGACATAACACACTCATGATTGATCCTTATTACGGTAGTAATAGTTGTTCTCGTGCTTGACCGATATCCACGCAAATAATTTGCAACTATCTACAATGATGTCTAAAGCCGTGACTCTATATCTAGTAACTTAACTCATTTTCATACCTAATAATTTATCTTCGTGATCACATTTATTTTCCGTCTAAACTACTGCATTTGCGTCAGGAAGGTATAGAGAGACTTCTTAAATAAAGCATACCCCAGTTTCGATTCTCTTTTTATACAAAAAACTTACTTTATTAACACTCTGCGATAAATGTTGATTAATTTATGCGCGTACATGCCGTACATAAAATATTTTCAGCTATATTACAATATAAACTGCGAATATACATGTGTCGCACATGTCATGTTTGTCAGTTTTACAAAATTTTTATGAAATCTGTGAAATATAATCCAGTGCAAAATATTTGAAACAATACTAATCTAATCTCGCAAAATCACGGATTTATAGATACAAGCTTCCTAAATGATATGTATACTCTGTAATACTCTGTAAAAAAAAAAAATAACATGTTTCTTTTAAAACGCATATTTCGGAATAATATATAATTCATCAGTTAGTTAACAAATAAATTTATAACAAATATATAAGGAAAGAATAAAATACATTGTTATATAATAAAATTATAATTTAATATTAATATATATATTATAATATTATATACATAATATATATATATATATATATATATATATATATATATATATATACATATATATATATACATATATATTTTTTTTAATAAATATTTTTCCTAATTTTACTAATGTTTTATATATATGTATGTATATAATATTGTAAAAAGTCGTTAAATCGTGGCCTGAATCAAGGGAATAAGAATGACAACCAAAAGAGATCATTTTATTACGCACGGAATATTAATTTAAGATTACATAATATTGTTTTGTCCTCGTAAAGTTTATATATATGTATATGTGTATACATATATATATATATATATATATATATATATGTATGTATATATATATATATATATATATATATATATGTGTGTGTGTGTGTGTGTGTGTATATATGTATATATATATATATTCTATAATAGATAACATATTGCTTTCCGAGGCAATCGTTATCGATTCACCTTATACACATTCATAAAACTGGAACACTTCGTAAACGTGCAGGAAATGATGCATGCACGTGTCCCACATACGGGTAGATATAGGTATACAGTGTGTCCACAAATTGTTACGGATCAATGCGATTTTTGACTTTTTGGCTGGACATTATGCACTTTTTTATGTGTGAAAAAAAAATCTCAGTGTTCTTTTATTTACTTACTAACCGAATTAGATCCAATGGACACACATCATATATAATACAGCATCAACACTTGTCATTGAGAATTTTTCCTAATAATTTTACAGGTACCAGTGTTAAGTCTATAACACTGTGATATGTTACCTGTTGTTACGAGTAAATACGATTTTCCAAGCGGACATCGGTTTCGCCTGTAGTATATTAATTTTTCTACGACCCCACCTAAGCCAGGAAAAGCCTATGATTAAGCAGAGAATGCTCTCTATGTAATAGCCATCGAGCTGCATGACGCAAACACCCTTATCGGTATTCGCACAGAGCTGAAAATATAACAGATAATATTTATATATATATATATATATATATATATATAATAATACTATAATTATAAATTACGATAAGATAAAAAAGACAAAATGCTGCGCGACAAAATACCCACCTCTCTTTCTGTAATTGTGCTACAATCGTTTGTGTGATCAGTACTGCATTGCCTAAACGTTAAGGGATCAACGAACCAAAGCGCGGCCGTGGCGGGCCAATTTCCACCGAGATTACATAAAGTATTGAGCAGTGTCATGTAGGTGCCACCAACAGCTGGGTCACTGACTTTTGCAAAGAAAGCCATCGACGCCACGAACATACTACTTACAGAAATCTAAAAAAAATTACAATTAAAATCGTTCAATCCAAATCTTACACTTTAGAGAGAAGACACACTTCGTCTAATATTTACCTGATGTATAAAGTAGAGACCTATTAATATAACGAAATAATAAGCTGGAGCATGTCCGTTAACTACAGCGAACGGTGTAACCCATACCAAGAATGCTGCTATTAAGCCGAAAGCCAGCCTGTATCAGTATGTAAGTTATCAGATAAAAAACATTAATTCATTATCATATATTGTTTAACATGAATCGTATACAACTATTTTTACCTGTAGGGCATAGCTTTCATATAAACGTCCATAGGTCTAGGACCAGCGGTATATTTCGAAATTACTAATGGTAAAATTATTTGCAGTGGTATCATCGGTACGATAATAAAAGCGAACTTTTCCTTGGGAATACCGGCTTCTATAAGCTTCAAACCAGTCACAGCGTCACACGCCGAAAATCCGATCTACAGAACATAATGAATGAAATCAACTTTCTGTACATATAATTGAATTACAATTTCAATTTTATTTTGTGTACTTCTGTACACAATTGAATTAAAATTTTCAGTATCCCACCTTCGCAGTCAACAGAAATATGACTGTAGTCTTTATAGCTGGTAATTTAAGTATATCCCACAAACGCTTGTACGCGTGTTTAATATCCATATTTAACTCTTCGCCTTTCGATACTTTTTCCTTATTTTCGTGTTTGAATAATGCGATAAATGTCGTCGTAACGATGAATGACCAACCCCAAAAGTGCAAAAATCCTAGATATAAGAATTACATTAAAAAGAGACCTTATATATAAATATTATGATATAAAGAATAATTCCACTACATCTTTCTTACCATGTAAAGTTAGCATGCCCTCGTCGGAAGGGACTGATCTCAAATAGGTATTACAAAATTCGGCAGATTCCAACGAAATGAACAAGACGTAGCCGATGAAGTAACCCGCCGTTTGACCAACACTGTTGCAGGTGGACGCGTATCCTACGTTGCACCTTAACAAACGAGTCAACTAATTAAGCAGACCGTGATGGAAGAAATACTACACGTGGATTACGAGGATTTTATTTTTACAAAGATACCTTTTAAGCATTGTAAGCGCCCATCCGTCAACTACAATGTCCTGAGTCGCGGCGAGGACGTTCAACAAGAAGAATAACGCTGTCAGCATTTCAATGTTGGGCTTTTCGTGTTCCTTGCCCAGCCATTGCTCGACGCAATTCGACAGAAGGAGCATAAACATACCCATTAGGTACTGGGTAGGAATCAACCATGTTTTTCTCCGTCCGAATTTTTGAGAAAAAATAGAATCTACTATGGGTGCCCAAAAGAGCTTCAACGAGAATGGCCATTGTACGAAACTAAATTCTGCCTATGTTAACAAAAAATACGGTAAATGTGTTATTACTTTACATACAAGCTTACCATATGGATGTCAAGTTCAAGTTTTAGAAACACTATATACTGAATAATAAATATTTTATATTAGAATCTCTGATAAGCTAAATTGAACAGTTTTTCTTTTTACAAGTTTCTTAATTTTAGTATTAAAAAACTAATCATGTTCGTGCTCTGGTATCAAATTAAAAAATTAATAAAAAGCGGAATCGCTCAGCTTGGCTTCTACTAAGAGGCTGATATATCAATCAGATATTGTTTTTAATTACATGGTCAATGTAATGATCATGTAGTACATTGAATTTATTCAAACCATAATAGATTTTTCACCTTACCTGTTGTCTATAGGAAACTCCTCTGTTCTGTAATAACATGGGAATCGAGCCGCATAATCCTAACGGGATACCCTGCAGCAAGTACAAGAAGAACAGAATTGCGATGTTCTTCTCGTCACCTCGCAAATCGGAGGGTTCCTGAATATTGTTCGTGTCAATGGTGCCATCCTCCGGGACACGATTATCTTTACTCAATTTTCTCTTCATATCACGTTTCTTCTCAGATCTCGGAAATCACAGTCAATATAATAGTCGTATATATATTTATTCTCACTCACACCGTTTCAAGGTTAACGCCACCTCTTCAAGATCGCTTTGGGATATATATTTTTTTTTAATTATAAAATTCGTCACCGCATATCGCGAACTAGTATACAGGCGCTCTCTTCGATTCTGAGTTCTCAACGATGACAGTGGACAATGAAGACGAATGATTTATGCCGGTCGAAGTGTCATCCTCGCCTACGCGATGATCATCACGAACCTAACCTTCGCCTCCTAACTCACGCCGAGCAAACACTAGTCTAAGCGATTCGTGCCGACTCGACTTCCTTTTCTTTCCCTCTTTATCTAGCTGCTCAACATCGCGAGGTCAATAAACGTGCGAGAGAGAAATTGCTCAGGTGAAACGACGCGTGAACGTGTGGCTGCACTCTTGCATTGCCACGTTGTTGATTATTAGGACACGTCAGTCGTACTTTGTTTTTTTTTCAACATCACGTGCGCACGGCTGCTTCGCCTGAATTGGAAAGCTGATTCAGACGGGAACGTGAATGAAAGTTATACGAGTAGAGCGTTGAAGCGTCATCTCGCGTAAGATATCTGGCGGGAACTTCAAAGCAAAACTCTCCAGTTTCTTCAAATTACGCTACCATCGTATGAGAAGAGACTTTATTTCCGTGCATGTATATTTCTTATCGAATAAGTATTAGATAAGTGTGATATGATTATATGATTAAAATTTAAAAACATCAAATTCAAGTTTTTCTTAGATAATTACAAGCAAACACGTTGCAGTTTCTATTTTCCATAGCGACGTCGACTGCCAGTTTGATTAGATTCTTCACATTTGTATTCAGGGAAGCGACATTAAGTACATTGTTACGTATCCTGTAAACAATTTGAATTGATTAGGCTAGATAATAAATACAATTAGATAGATTAATATGATGTTGCGAAGTAATTTGAATAATGAAAAAAAATACGTACAGATTGGTAAGATGATATTTTCGATTCCGATTAGCGTTCAAGATTTCGACGTCCTTATCAACATCGGACAGATAATCCTTCTGGATTTCGCAAGTCAATCTGGCGACGCATCTCGGAGAAACGATCAATCTATTGGTCGAGGTATCTTTTTGTATCTGTTAAAAAAAATAAATATTTATTTTAGTACAAGTTTCTGCGTAAAAAGATTACATCGTCGTATATTTATAAATTATATACCTTGTATAAATTTCTCTTCAACACGTTTAAAATGTAATCCATTTGGAAATCGGTCTGCGGTTCCGAGACTTCCGAGAAAGTTTCCGATCTTTTCTTTCTTCCGCTCACGATGCCAATTGGTAGGAGAACCGGATTTGAAGCTAATGCCGCTGCTGCTCCAATTAATGCAACACCAGCTAGAGCCTTTAACGCTACGGCCTTAACAAGTAAATAATTTAATTATAATTTTTAAATTATCAATTAATTTATTTAATATTAATTATTATTAAAAATTACATTATTTAATTGTTTATAATTTTTAATTCATTTAATTATTCATTTATAAACCTTTCGATTAATTTAAAATCTAGAGGAAAAATTGTTCAAAGAAAAGAGAAAGGCGAGCACCGGAAGCGATTTATTTATTAATTATTGCAACTACGGATCGAAATAACAAGAATACAAATTATTAATTATTAATTCATTTTAATCTTTTAGGAAAATAATTATTTCTCTAACAATGGATTTTGGAATTAAATATATTTCGATCTAAATTAAATTTGTTATCTGAATTTTTTAAGATCGCGTAATGAGACAAAAATCGAATAATTAACAAAGATCTATTAAAAAAATATATTAATCGTTCAATTAATAATTAATACATAATTTAAAAAAACATAATATATACCATATATATTTTTTATAGTACATAAAATATTTTGGCACTGAAATTAATTGTTTAGCCTTGTTAACGTATAGAAGCTATATTATATACTTGCATGACCTTGTTATCATTCACTCGACAACACTCGAGCAGTAAAGTATACGAATACTTGAAGTAAAATATATTTCGATACTTGAAATTTTTCGTCGACCTAAATGTAATTTGTTATTCGGATTGAAAGCACGCAATAAACTTCGAGATTTTCAAGAGGTTTCTTTGATATACATTCGAGTAGAGCGATTTAACTTATCTTTTTTAAGAGCGGATTCCAGAAAACTTTAGATATCCCATACTAGGCAACTTTTCAAAAATTTTCTCTCTCTACCTCGTTCTCTTCTTAGATTTATATAGATAATAAAATTGCGAAAATATTCATCTTCCTCAAAATATATGGACCTTTTGCGCCTGAATGTTTGCGGGAAGCTGTGGCACACTTCCTTCCGGGCCCGAATCGCCAGGACCGAATTCGTCACCATCGGCTAATGTCCCTGAAATCCCGTAGCCTCCGTTGGAACCTCCATATCCAGGCGGCCTTCCATAGCCCCCTTGACCATATCCTCCAGAGTTTCCCGAGCCATATCCCAAAGAGCTGGGTCTGTTAGCACTTTCACTTCCGTACACTGACGGACGCGATGGATATCTGTTGTTTGTTTCAAGTGCGAAAAATCTCTCTTTAATGCCAAAATCTTACGTATTTTTCTTCACAAATTTCTTAAATTTTTGCGCCGTAAAAAAATAAATTTTCCTCGAATTAATACCAAAAGTGCTCCGTAATTCGCGGAAACGCAAAGATTTATAGGTAAAAGGAAGCTGAGAAAATTCACCTGTCTCCCGATTGATTTCCTGCGTAGATTCCGTTTCCGCCTCCTCCTCCTCCGGGTCTACCGCCGTTTCCGGTGGAACCTGGGGGCCGACTTTGTGTTTGCCATCCGAATCTAGAATAAAACTTCGCATTCTAAAATTTGTATGTACATAGAAAAGAATAGCCAATATATAACTATACCTCTCAATAGGATTTCGCTCGTTGTATTGAGAGGGATAACGTCCGATCTCCGCATTAATCTTGTTGTAATTGTCGTAATTGTAATCCGGTCGTGCAGAATCGCTGTATCTGCGGTCGCAGCAACTGGAACTTGCAAGTAAAAATGGGCCATATATAATTCGAATTGTTGATAAATCGCTATTAACTTATCTGTCACGTTTCGAGAGTTTAAGATTTAAAGTTTCAAAAGAGGAAAAAGTTCAGTTCAAAGATGTTGACTTATCTCTATCGAGACTCGAATCGCGATGTGCAGTTCTCGGTTTCTTGTCTGTTTTCTTCTCCTCCTCGCTTTTATTATCTAAGATAAGTTGCGTCGAGTTTTTCGCGCGAATAACATTTTCCAAAAGTTTGCCATTCGAATCCGCAGAGTATTTCTTCGGAAGTTCGGTTGTCGCCGGGAATTCACTTTTCTCCGCCAGCGCACAAGAAACACCGAGGGTGACGAATAGAACTAGGACGTGCATCGTCGCCGTGATTAATTAGAAATGCGAATATTTAATGCGTTTTGTTATCGAGTGTGTAGAAAATTCTCCGAGAATCGTAAAAAGTTCGTAGAGCGTTCGCTTCAACGAGATGACACAAAAGTAACTCTCTAATTTCCCAAGTTTCACCCATTTATATAGCAGTCATGCATGGGATGCTATCATAAATTCACCCTTCAGGGACGAACATGGACTTTTTTTAAAGATAAAATTCAGGAAAAGCAGTAACGAGAAAGATTATTGAGATTCTAAAGTTTCTTTTCATATTTTTTCTAATTATGATAAACTTTATTATTGTAGTTACAAAGAAAGCAACAAAAGGCTTTAGAGTATTATTATAAAAACGTAATATTTTTGCAAGTTTTATTTATGTCTGTATTTTCATGTAAATATATATTTTTTATTTATTCAATAGCTAACCTGCGTTTAGACGTGAATCTTATAGATATTTATTAATGAAATAAAAATAGAACAAATAGTAATGGATATATTTCTTCTCTCTTCTAACGATTTGATAGGTTTTCCACTCTTCTTTGTTTATTGTAAATATTCTACAAACAATATTGAGCAAATCTTATAATTTTCATGTGGAATAAAATGACACTAGTTGCGTCCCTGAAGCCACAAAGTGTGACCAGACGTCAAGCAGCACAGAGCGCTAGCGAAAATAAAAGTGTCGCGAGTGAGTCAACAATCGTCACGCCAGGACATTAATTAACCATCAGATTTCCCAAACGCTATTGTTTTCGTTACTTGTTTATGAAATTTGTCAAAAGTCACGAGACAAGATTGTGTCGATATACCCTACCAATCTCGCGTCATTAGTTATACTTCATGTTTCGTCTTATCTCTTCGAGGAATCCATTCAATTCAATTAAATTTCTCTTCTATAATTAATATCAAGTTGAGATCTATTTTCACGGAAAATCATATAAGCTTCGAATATTTCTCCTTTCATTTTTTTTCCCCGCTTTCCCTTTCGCTCGGTCTTCGGCCTTTCCGCTTCAAGTCTGTCGGTGAAAATTAAAATAAAAATGCGAGATTTTTTTTTATAATCCCCGATTTACGGTGAGAAAGATTTAAAACAATTTGAAAATTTACAATAGAAAGATTTACAGTACAAACATTTGATACATCAAACACAAGAGAACAAAGAAATCCCTAGGTTTAAAAAGTTTCACCGAATTGGCGATCGCTAATTTCCTACTGTGCGCTTTGTTTCCCTTAATGGATTTCGCCGTTTCGAAATGTGAATAGAACAATTTGTTCCGTCTGGATGTTCGCCAGTGTGACGAACAACCGAAATTATGCGAACTTACACCGAGTCCATATTACATTTACAACTACAAAATTTTTAACAGCAAAAAGGGCTCGCGTCAAAGCACGAGTGATCTCGTAAAGCAAGGATACATCGAGGTCGTTGCTTTTTTTGGTCTCCACTTTTTTTTAGTAATTATTACTACAAGTGACAAAGTCCAATTATATCGTGTCAATTAATCATTTTCAGCTAATTACAAAGAGCCTCGCATTAGCTAAAAGAGAGTTCAGAGAATTGAGAGTACCGGATGAGTTTCATTAATCTTTTACACCCGAGACTTCAAAGCATGAAAGGAAAGCGTATGCGCTTCGATCGTACATTCGATCAACCGCAAGAGTCGATGCTAGAGACGCGGGCATTAATTTAAGCCAAACCGACGACCCTCGCAATGAAAGAGAGAATCCGATTTCGTTCGAGAATGCTGGGTACGGGACATTAGGGGACTAATTTAAAGAATCGAGGGGGAAGGCTACCGCGCTTAGGTAACCCTCTCGGGTGCAGAACAGGGAATATCGAAGGAATGAGGAGAGAAGGGAGAGACCGGGGTGGTCTATAGAAGATACGAGAGACCGCGGGATGGAGCGAGAGCAGAGTAATCAATACGTATTCACACGCGGCGCCTTGCATACCCGGTTTCCATAGGAACTGACGCCCACGCATGCGTCGGTCCATGGTCCATGCGATGCTGCTGCACCAACGAGATCGTACGGAAGTCCGAATCAGTCTCGCGCCAACCAGTCTGTGCGCGGGAGACGAACGACAAAAGAAAACATTTTTTTCACACTTCAGGATGACACATGTCTCGATTTTACATGTATTTTTATTTTTTATCTTAACCCCTTAATTTTTTATATTTATTTATTTAACAATCTCTAACAGCACACGTCTCGAAGACGTTCAAAGAACAGCCTGAGGATGTTCGAATGTTCTCCTCAGAATGTCTTTGAATATGATGTGCTATTAGGGGTCCTGCTCTTTCTGAAATTGATTTCGCTGTTACCTCTTTCGACGCAGCATCTTAATGACCCTAAAGGATAAATATTACATATAACAATATTGATAATATTATTTCAATCAAGAAACATTGAAAAGGAAATAAAAGATTTTACATTTGATAATTTCCTCTTACGAAACACGTGAATAATGTTTTCGTCGAAAAGCGTGCTATATAAAGATGGGCTGACGAAACTGCAGAGAATATTTATACGCGGCAGCCGAAGTGTCTGTATTTATGTTGCTTGGCGAACGATCGGCGTCACCGACGTCTAAAGCCCGATAAACTAAATCGTATGTCGAGGGGATCGTTCCCCCGACGACGGTCATCTTGGTCTCTCTCTGTCGTCGTCCCTCGAAGGGGGTTCCTCGTTCGACGCGTCGTTCGCGTTCAACGGATGTATTCAACCCTCTTCTCCCTTCGGCCACCCTCGGACGATGAAGGGAACGAAGAGGGGAACGAGGGTTGCTGATTGCGACGCGCCTGCGCCGAGTCCCCAATGACGGACTCGGCTAGGTAGGTGCTCGACCCGGACGCAGTTTGGGAGAAAACAAGCTGCGGGCTGCCTGCTGTTCTCCGGGTAGCGCGGGCCCTTTTCCTCGTAGAATCCTCGACGAAAGGGCGAAAATTGAGAGGGAACGCAGATCCAACCCGGCTAGAGAAAGCGTGGTGCGGCTGATATTCCCCGACACGGAGATGTCCGCGAGGTGGTACTGAACGAACGATGATGAGACGAGGCTTGGGCGCAGCGGATATAATAGTGCGAAAAAAAACTGACGTTCAATAATACACGGCGCGCGACAACAAGTTCGTTGAACCCTTTCGCGAATCCAGGCAGCTGCCGCGGCACTTGACTCGGATATGCATCATCTCGAGGGTGATCGCTGCAGCGAAGGGTGATGCACACGTCGAGGGATCAATTCGGATTCTGCATTATACGCGCCAATCTGTAGTTCAATTAAGACGTTTCCAAGACCTCCTCGTTCCGCCTCGAATGTTCCGGGGAACATCTTCCAAAGATCTTTGTTGATTCGTGCGTTTTTGCTCACTCTGTGTCGTGTTGTTTCCAAGTGTAGTTGGATGCAGCGAAGAAAAAGACCGTGAAAAGGATGTATGTTTGAGAGAGAGAGAGAGAGAGAGAGAGAGAGAGAGAGAAACGGAGGGAGATATTACACGATTTCTGTGTAGTGCGGCGTGTGCTTAGCAGCTCTTAATCGTCGATTGCATGTGGGTCACGAGTTGCATTTGCCACGGCTAACGAGATAGAAGATTTACCGAGCTAAGAGGTAAGCCTGTTAACTGACGGCAGCGAAACTGCTGATGCAAAAGCGATTCGTAGAGTAAGATGGATTCGGGGGTAAGCAAAAAAAAGAGAAAGCTTTGCATTCACGCACAACACATGCGCGGACAAATTAATCTCGTCGATGTAAAGCGGAGCTCTCGAATTAAAACTTTTGCATTCAATATTTTTTAATTAATTTAAAACGAAAAGTTTCGCGATGCTAAATTAATTAATTTTTTTATCAAAGTTCGGAAAAGGGAAACTTGGAAAAATTTAGATTTTCTCAAACTTATCTTATAATCTAGCTGTTCTTCTTTTTATTAAGAAAGAAGAGAAAAACCTTCGAGAAAATGTATTGGCCGAAGGAAACGTGTATATTGTAATTAATTTTATTTTGAGGGGATTGACGGGATTTGATAATTTGTAGTAATTTCAGTAACAAGTCTGAGAGTAAATGATTATTAAGATTTTTTTTACCGAGTGATACAGAAAAATCTACTATGCGAATTGAATGATAAAGAATCTCAATGAGAGAATCAAGAACTTTGTAAGCGTTACAAATTTTCATCGCGGCGAGTCACGTGTCTAAAGTAGGTACTTGTAATTTACAGTGTCCTTAACCTCGTAGGAAATCAATGTCCTTCATGTACCGGTAGCTATACATTCCATAAACGATGCCATATGCGACTTAAACTCTTCTTACAAAGCATAATAACAATAGCAATGAATTAAACAAGGAATTTCTGCTCTTCTATAGAAAGAAGAAATTTTATCTCCAATCAAACTGCAGAGGATAATGAAATAAACGCATTTATTTAAAGACTTTTTTCATATCAATGATTGTACACGGTATCGTGAAGTAAACTTTGCAATTTACATAGGTACGCTACTTGAAATTTAAATAAAACACTAACGACGAGCGCGTCCCTTAAGATATACAGCAGATTAGAGGCTGTTCTTTCCGGCACAAAGGGATCGGTAATGAGAACTACCACAGTGTTTGCACAAGAATCGCGCTTCTTTTACCCGCGGTCCTTCGTGGGTTGCTCGTCACGCAGGGGCGCGTTCGGCCCTGTCGAATTGTTTAAAGGAGAGCGTTTATCTTAAATGCCTGCCAAAGTAAACAAAAGAAATGTGCCGGTATCGATAATGAAGCAGTCAAATTTTGAGATACTAATTTGCATAATTAACGAGCTTAAAAATTAAATACACTCTCTACGCATCACATTATATACATTTCTTGATGCATAATGCATTGCAAAACGATACAATGTAAACCTCGCTTATAAACTTGAGCTTTATTTTTGTATGAATTTACATCTTATTAAATTTCTAGGGAAGCACTACTCATATACATACATACATATACATATAAAGAGAGTCAAGTGTTTTTGTTTTCATCTCCCTCGAAAAGAAAAACCGACGTATCGATCGGTCACCGACTTCATCTCCTTGACATTCGGTGTCGAGCAAAGACTAAATTTTGATCCCTTCCCTTCGCCAGCTCTTTAACTCGACTCTCGAGGGTAACATCGTTGGAAAGGGAGCGAGTCGTGTGCGTCTTCTATGCGTGATGCTCGAATTTAAGTTGTTCTCTTTGCGGTTGCAGCATTATTCTCTCGTCAAGGATCACAGGATATTTATCAATTGTATAGCTAATTGAATATTATAGCATGGCATTTCTCCTAACGAGGGAGTCGTCCTTCGGTGACACAATTTCGAGCTTATGGCTTTGCTTTCGAGAACTTATATCACTTTGCATTTATTGTACGTAAATATACAAAAATTGCTTTATTTAAAATCTTTAATTAAAATAAGTCTCTTAAATCTTTTATAATATCGCATTTAGAATACAACCTTTAGATATGATCACGCGAATATGTAATTATTCAACGTGCCGCATGTATCGCCGCATTAGTACGCGATTAAATAAGTAAAGATCAAATAATTGATTAAATTTAAAAGAACTGATAACTCTTACAGTTTTTATTTGCTCGTTAGTTTTAGCTAATCTTTTTGATGTAGTGACATTTTATTTAAATGAGCGAATTTTTTCAATCCTTTATTTAGTTGACAGGTTTTTAATTATTTTCGCCTGCCAAAGGATATTTTTCTATATATGATTTTCGAAAATTTTTCGCATCAATCAGAATCAATGGATATTCGAAATCGAAATTCTAACATTTCGGGTAGAAGATCTTCGAGTTTTGTTTTGCGTATCGCGTATCGTATAAATCCCGAAGTCGATCCCGTGAAATCGCTGAAAAATTGCCGTGACGCGCGTTTAATCCTAGCTTTTGGGCCGAGCTTTCCATAGCTTGGGGGTGCAAAAGGGCCAATGTCTGGCTCGTTCTGAAATCTGCGGATGGGACATTATCGCATGGCATTCTCTCTCTCCCCAGATCGATGGAATGCACCGATATATCTTGAATACGCGTATGTGTGCATGTGTAACAGCTGCTATAAAATTTTTACTCACGATCGCGCGTATATATATATATATATATATATGTCCCGTATTTCGAGATTCTCCTATAGAAGAGGATATGATGCACTGACTCACTCATCTGTGAAAAATACGAGATAAAAGTCGATTCGTAAGATACGTATAAGATAAAAATACCAATAGAAATTGAAATAATCGGAATCGCTTGAAATCTTCGAATATCACACATTTTGACAGAAGGAACTCTTTTTGACGATATAAAATAATAATATCGTATGTTTAGATTCTCTTGGTATTTAATTTTTATAACTAAATGCAATCCTCTATCTTCTTTCTAAGAAAAAATATAATTTATTAGCATTTTTATTTACAATTGAGAAATAAAATAAATTGTGAAAAACAGGGTTCGCAATTTATGCTTTTCGTGCGCATCTTTTTCTCCTCTTCCATCTAGCAAATATCCCGTCCGCTTGTATAAAACGAACTTTCCCATTGGGGAAAGATTGCATTTGTATCGCGATGGCTACCTCGAATTGTATTACCTCACGAGAGACATGTATTTGCGTATACATGCGTGTTCGGTAAGCGTTAGGGTTCATTCGTTTATTCCCTTGAAATTGAATTTCACAATCTGCTCTATAATTGAATCTGGAACGCTGGCGCCGGATATAAGCGGAAACTTATAAGGCCAATGTCGAAGGCCAAGCTCACTTTCTTCGACTAATTAGATTTTATGTAGGGTACTGCGCGACGGACATCCGACCATCGCGGATATCGAGGCACATTTTAAGAAGAAAATATTATATTTTCGTTAATTAAATTCCAATTCAATCACTATTAATTCGTTATATGGATCAAGAAGTATAAAATGTATACATTTTGCATATAAAATGTATTTTCTCAAAAATCTCGGAATAAAGCTAAAGTTTTCTGAAGCTAAAAAGACGTTTGACAAATCGAAGGAGAAAACTAGGAACGTGGAAATAGATTATCTTGGAACAGATGCGCGAAAGATGTGTTACTAATGCAACAGCGTCGAGGGAATTGCCCAGTGGCGATCAGCACCCTCGTTTTAAAGAAACAATTTACAAATCGTTGCACCTGATGCCAGTCTTTTTCGAAATCTAATCCGTCTTCTTATTCCCTACTCCCTACAAATTACACCGGCAAAGCAACGAGGCCCGATCAAACGCGAACGATTTGTCAACGGAACAGATCCGATTAATTATTTATTTGTCTCGACTTGGTAAATATTTAGTCTTGCACCCTCCGCGAAAATCCAAGCCTCTTAGATTACTTGGAATTGCATTCACATAGTAAATTTCTCTAACTATATATACTACAAATCCGAATACACTAAAATAAAACGTATTCAATTACAGGACAAATTGTAATTGATTAGTTAAATTAGTATGTATGAAGATTTGATAAAAAGTTTGGTAATGTTTGATAAAGTATTTAATATATTTTATCTTTATTGCTTCTGAAACGATTTCTTTTTCTCTGCAATAATTCTGCAGAAAGGAGGAAACGCAGGAGAATAAGGAAGACTAAAAGAAATCAATATTATTTTATCCTCTCTCCGTATATAAATGTATCTATTATATTCTTATTAAATTCTCCGAGTATCTTATAATTAACTTAAAAGGAACATAACAGCATTATTGACATTTTTAACGAAGGATATTTACAATAAACGCCTCTGACGGCGACTCTTCTTTTAATCGAACATATAAAGCGATATTTATGCGTGCCTTGTTTCAGGGAGAAAATGTGGAGCTCGGTTACCGCTGCCGGCACTGAAAATGGACCAGCACCTCCCTCGAGGAGCAAGCATAGCGCCACCTTACTTGCGGGTCACGTGTATCTTCTCGGAGGTAGAAATGGAAACCTACCGCTCAAAGATCTCTGGCGATACAGCCTCGGTGAGAGTCTTTAAAAATTTCTCGCACTCATATACAAGGTGTCTGACATAAGACGTCACACCGAAAATATACAAGTAGATCTTGTTATTTGGAGGCAATTTTTCCTTCGCAAAAATATTGAGGTATCAATCATTTTCAAGTTATAAGCTATTGGAAATAAAGGGTTTTTCAAACTAAGCCTTGTGGAAAGAAAATATTAACAAAACCGCATTCTCTAATTAATTTCAAGAATTTACTTTAATAAAATTTTGATTTAAGGTTATAAAGATACATAATGATAAAAATTGGGAACATGCAAAAAATAATGGCTTTCCTCGACATTTTTGCTGAGGAAAAATCGTCTCCAAATAACGAGATCTGCTTGTATATTTTCGGTGTGACACTTTATGTCAGACACCCTGTATATTGATTCTTCTACTATTATACATAATTGCATTAATCACTGGATCTTCAGTTACGTTATTTTGAGATGGTAAAAATTCCAGCGTATATCAGAAGAGATCTCCTATTTCAAATCCTTAAAATCTAGTATGATTAATACAATTATATTAATAATATAAAAATCATCAAAAAAAAAAAAAAAAGAAAAAAATTTTAAGAGGGAGAGAGAAGGAGAGAGCAATGCGACAATACTTGGAGTCGTTCGAAGAGCGCGATAGAATACGAACATCGTTTCTCTGACCAACGCACCCCATCTCATCCGTCGACGCACCCCATGGAACGAGGGTGCGCGACGGAATTTGAACGGGGTTCAGTCTGATCAATAATGCACCATTATTAAAGCCCACGTACATCAACTAAATCCGGACGGACGATACTCCACAATTACGTGGTGTTTCCACGGAGATCAGACATACGCGAATTAATTGCGCCCGCCAGCCATAATCGGTGGCTTATCTACGTGACAGGGGAAGAGAGAGAGAGCTTTTTTCTAACCGAGTGTTCCGTTGCTTTTAGCCGTTCCCTAAGCATACGGGGAGAATCGGTATCTTATTTCAGTCTCAAACAATTAACGTCCAATCGTGACTTCTTTCCTTGCGTATATCATGTATAAAAACGTGCATTCGATTAATAAAGAACGAATTGTTCTTTTTTTTTTATTCGTAGCATAATGCTGCGAAAAATTATAAATATTAATCCCCTCGGAGCAATCTCGAGAACAACGGTGATTTATAAGGTACAGATTTATAATGTAACGCGAATTTGCGCTCGCGTGCATGCTATCAGCGGAATTCTTAATCAGAGGGTATTGTTCGATCGTGCTTGTTCGGGTGAATATTGAAGTAGCGTCGAAGGGGTTGGTGCTTCATTTTCCCAAGCTAAACAATGTGTTCCCGGTTGTCGCTATATCCCTTAAAGGTCTCTAGTTTTAAAGGCCTGTAGTTTTCCCGCTCCACTCGATCTTGCAAAAATATTGTGATAACTCGAAGAATCACGAGAGTACTCTCGAGTGGAAGTCAGTTTTTGTTGCACCCTCTTTTATCATTGAAGTAGCCGAGAAATAACGGGAGGAGACAATTCCCGGAGGATGGGAACGGAGGCGTGGAGATATATATCAAGAGAGATGTGAGAAAATTTAATTGAGGGAAGAAAAAGAATTGTTCGAAAAAAGAAGGGAGAGGAAATATAAAAATGAATTTAATAATCGTTCGACCCTGCGCACAATGGAGAAATAAATATTAAATATTAGAAATAGGAATTATTTAAAAATAATAAAATCGAAAAAACTTTGATATATTAACTCTTACTAGTTCTTTACCTATATCCGAATTTGTATTTTTATATTAGAATCTTTTCGATTTTATTATTTTAAAATAATTCTTATTCCTAATATTTAATATTTATTCCTATTGTTCGCAGAGCCTTATAGTTTTATTTTAATAAAAATAAGAACTAAATTTTCCTCTATGCAATATTCTTATATATATATATATATATATATATATATATATATATATATATATACACAAAATATCTTCAATATCCTCGCTCAATGTTCTGAAGCTTTATCAGAACAGGAGCTCTAATAGCTAAATTGTTTGTACAAAAGGCACGTATATCCACTTGTCCCAAAATGCCGGATCTCTCCTGCATCAAACACGCTGCAATTTCGCAGCACATGCTTTTAGACAAAAGGAGGTATTGTTTCACCGGAGAAGCTAGATACGACACGTGTACCATGCAATCAATGTCGGGCATCTGTAGTATCCTTTTAGCGACATTGAAGGTACTTGGGTCGACACGTTACGTTCTTATATGAGTCTTTGTTCTCGAGCACGTTTCCGTGAGAAGCTAAAGGCTAAAGCATTCGCGAATATCCAATTAGATAACAGAAGTCGGTACGAATATTGCTCACAAATACATGGTTTGTTCTTTTATTTATTAAGAAATATTTAATGGATATATTATTATTTTCTCTTTCTCTCTCTCTTTAAAGAAATAGTGCCAGATGAATAACAAAGTAAGATTAAAGGCAAAGAACGAGAATTAACAAATGAAAAAAACGTAATATAAAAGATTTTAAAGGACGCATAAAAAAAGAGAATATAAAAATAATTCTCTCTAAAAAATAGTATTAGCTAAAAAAATTTCGATGTTTAATAAAAAAAAGTTCTTTCTCTCTCTACTATCGTCTCGAACAAGATTTAAGATTAAAAGAAGGCATAAAATCAATTGAATGCATGAACAGAGGAATAATTGACGAGAGTGCAGCGATATTTTTAGTTTCGTTCCGATTTCAGTACATACGGAAAAGGAATATATATGTACTCTTATTCAACATAAAAAAAACGCAAATTTATGCGCTCTTTTGTCAAACTTCCTCGTTTTTATATTTCCTGGAGAAGCACTGGTTTCCTTTTTACGATAATTCTGAACAGCTAATGTCTGTTTTATTAATTAGATCGGGCAAGGCGGACAGATTTCTTTTTATTCTCTTCGTAAAACGTTATACGATCGAATAATTTTCCCGATTTTTTTGCATGTAAAATGTAGCTAAGTTATCAATTGCGAAACTTCACAATAAAGAAATACGCGCGTGCCAAATTGCATGACAAAGTACGGAAATTGGAATTATACAAGGTGTCCCAAAATTAATAGCAAACCTTTTAATGGCAGATTTCTCCTCAGCGAAAATGTCGAGAGAGGCCATTATTTTTTGCATGTTCCCAATTTTTGCTATCATGTATTTTCATAATCAAGCCTTAAATTAAATTATTATTAAAGTAAATTCTACATAAAATTAATAAAATGTGATTTTGTTAAAATTTTATTTCCATAAGACTTAGTTTGCGAAAATTTTTCAATCGCTTAAAACTCGAAAATGATTAACATCTCGATATTTTCGTTGAGAGAAAATCATCTCCAAATGATCCCAGGAATCTGCCATTAAAAGGTTTACTATTAATTTTGGGACACCCTATATAGTCTACACACACACACACACACACACACACACACAAAAGTGTCGCGGATCTTGCTACGTTGAAAAGCAGTCTTTGCAGTGTTTGCAACCGAAAACTGGGACACACGCTATACGTCTCTCCGCGATAGAAGCCGGCCATTAAAATGCAAGAGAGAATGCATACGAGAATGTATTAGAAAAACTCGCGTGTCGCTATGTTGCATTCTCGTTGAAATTGCAGAGAACGCGCACTCTCCGTAATAACCCAAACATATAGCCTAAAAGCTAAGATAAGGATGTCGGATACGTGACGCACACATTTCTCTTTCAGCGGAAAGCAAGTGGGAGGAACTGCATCCAGGGGGCGAAAGACCGCCGGCTCTTCAGGAACACAGCGCGGTGGCCTATAAGGATTGCCTCTACGTTTTCGGGGGCGAATTGGGCTTCTCCGCCGGAACGGAAACACCACTCTGGGTTTATAACGTCAAGGTAATAATATACGAGTTTCGCGAAATGTTGCATAAACGCGATCGTGCATGCAAAGAATTGGCTCATTGCGAATAATATCGCGAAATGGATCTTTCTACGGGTAAAAAGTAAAAATCAGCGGTCGTATCGTCCTAACGAAACTGTTAATGATTCTCTTCGCGACGAGGAGGAGCGTCGCCGTCATCGTGGAAAAAGCGAGGAAAATCGCACCCTCGAGAAAATGTCGTTTAATCGATAACGTCAACGGCTATGAATTTTACACGGTAGTGTGTCACTTCCCCTTGTGCCTCTATGGTGAGAAGTGACATAGAGAGAGATGCTTTCGACAGCGAGTGACAAGCTTTACCGAAAGGAAACTTATCCGCCCAATAGACGCGTATCGAGTATGTGTAGAAATTCATCTACCTATACTGTTGTACAGTTATCCTATTGTCCTCCGCGCGATGTCAAGAACTCCTCGGAGAGGATAATAAGCGCGACGCGAAACGAACGGTGACACGGGGTGGTTGGCCTCTTCCGGTTACGAGGGAGACATCGTTTCGCGTGCGGAAAATCAATTCTTCGAAATGAGCGGAGGAGGTCGGAGAATCGGAGTAAACAAAATCATTCAATCCGGACATCGATCAAAACTCACGAAAATTTATGAAAATAAATTTAATTAATTTCAATGTATAATTCGCTAATACTATATTAATTTTAACAAAGAATTTTATTTTTAAAAGAATTAATGAATAAAATAATATATAAAATAATACAAGAAATAATATATAAAATAATATATTATATGCAACTTGCGCAAATAATATGCTAAAATAATATATAAAATAATACAAAAAATAATATATAAAATAATGTATAAAATAATATATTATATGCAACTTGCGCAAATAATATGCTAGGACATTTGTATCGCAAATGATTTTATTATTATGTGACTTATTCAGAGCTCTTCAATTCAAGTGGTATTATCGTGATTTCGAATTGATATATATTCCCATAATTTTAAGGGAAAGATGAAGGCATCGGTGCGCGATATTGTCAATCAACTTTGGCGTAGTCGTCTAATATTGCCCTTCGTCTCGTTTGCTAAATCGAGAGGGTGTAAGCCTCCCTCCGATCACTGAAACGGCGATGGCGGACTAACTGCCCGGAGGGCTACTCGTCGCCTCATCTAATCAAATCGTATAGGTCGTCCTTAACTAAATCTCGATAACAAATTCAATGTAGAAATTCCAGACGAAATGCGTTATCTTCGCGAAAAAGTATTTCGGGCAATATTTTTTAGATACGCGTAATTTCGTTGTTTTAGATTTTCTACGAATTTGCGAGATATCACAATCACGACTATGTCGAATACTGCATTTCCTTGTCTAGGAATTGGATCTTCCGTTTCACTCTATTGCGCATCTATTTGTCGAGAGAATGTCTATGTAACGCTCCATTCATGCCTTAAGAGAATGACAGCAATGCATTGACATCGATGATGAATGAGGTGTCCCCGGCGAAACGCGCGGTTCAAGGCATTACTTCCAGTAGTTCCGGAGATATTGGATTGCAATCGATCCGCAGAATATATAGTCGCGGTATTAGATCTCTCAGATTAATCTCGATGTAGTTGATAATATCTCGAGCAATTTTCAGCTAATAGATATGTATACCATATATGTAACGAGCTTATGCAGTTATGAATTTTATATATACATACATATGTATATCTCGAATTTCATTTATTATAGAAGCGTAGCGAGAAGTTTAAAATGTCGAAAAATCCAAGTCAACTTCTTTTAAATAAGCAAGACGAAAATATCCAAGAGAATTTAAGAATAAATTATTACTTACAATTAATTAATTTATTTTTCATTATTTATTAATATAATGAAAAATTAATGAAAAAATATATATTTCAAAATATAAAAAAAATCTTATCGATAATGTTATAAAATTTTATGATGATTCCCTCCTATTTAATTTTTTCTGATAGTGTTAACATTTTCTGACATAGCCTCTAATTTCATACAATATTCAGAAACGACCTATCTTTCGCAAGGCCTTCAAGAGCAATTTAAGTCGAGGGTGGTTTTTGGCAACATCTGGTGTTAACAGGCTTTCTCTCCGATTCGTACCCTTGAAACCAGACAGAGTTTCATTCTCCCGAGGGTTGCGCCACTCACGCGCGAAACATTAAAAATTAATAAGCCCGCGTAGGATACGAAACATCACGCATTATTTCAGCATCCTGTCTATTTTTTATTTAGATAAAAAGAAGTAAAGACGCAATTTTTTTCTCAATTTATATCAAAAGAACTTAAACTTTCTTAAAAAGTTATTATTCTTCATACAATTTCTTGCGCATAAAATAAAGTCATCTAATCTCATTCGCATTCCGAGCTTGCGTTTCAATGAAATAAGATTGTCTCGAACACGCAACTTTTTCAAAACTATTCTATATGTCCTGTATAAAGATTATTTTAAATTGGATCACCACGCGCTTATATACTCTTTTGGTCGATTCGTTTTTAATCGTTGAAACGTGGAGAAGAAATACGAGTATTTTCCTCCCGCTGTTTCTGTCTGTTCGTTGTGTATTATTGAAATCCGCGTTATACGAATGCGTCAGGCAAACCTGATTGGATAAGCTGGAGGGGTTGCTCAGCATGTTCGTTCTCTCCCTACCTGCTTTACTTCCCTGTCTCTCTCACTTTCCCTCTGTACTTCGTTAAAACACTCCCTCGTTTCAGCGACAGACGGAACATGGAATAAAACACGCGTGTTCCAATATCTTCTATTCTCTGTTTTTTTTTCTTATATATTTGTGGTTTGCAAAGAAAAATTTTTGAAGATTGCCGAAAAAAGATTAAGCTACTTTCCCAAATAATAAATAATGAGATGAAATTTTCCAGTTCGTTTAATTTAACTTTTCTTGTCAAAAATTTGTATCATAAAATATAAGCTATTCATATATAAAAAATATATTCATGACTATCCCGCGGGCGATGAGTATATTTATAAATAAGTTCCCTCGGAGCGAAACGAAACGCCGCTGTCATCTCTTTGATGTGCAATCAAAAGTATTTTACTCTGGACGTGGAGTAATATCTATTTCGAAACGCTGTTCGTACATATTTAATAATGTGTGTGTGTGTGTGTGTCTGTGTGTGTCAATGTACGAAAAAAAAGATATAGATATAATATTGCAAAGTATACGTCTAAAGATAGCTAATAGATGGAAACGTCATCTAATTAATCTGATCTCTTAAGTAAAATTCAGAAAAATTATTATTAAAAATTTCTACGTATTTTATCTTTATTAGAGGACGCGGAAATCCTTTCAAATGCATTTACAATATAGTTGCACGGTCCAGAAGGTGTTTATCATTTCTGTATTGTAATCCCGTGAACTGTTACATTTCAAAAGAAGAATAATGCGATTTGTCTTCTAAAATACCGGTTAATATACGTTCAAATTTTCTGCTAGATTGAGCGATAAATCTTTTCCCGGGGGAGAAAAAGGGCGCAACGTATTGATTTCATCGATATGTGTAAATATAAAGAACATGTCGAGAGTAGTCTTTTCTGCGACATGCTTTTCATGGAAATTGTTTCAAGGTAACTGCGTTAAAAATAAATGTGCTTATATTACCTATCTATTTAGTTTAATACTTTATATATTTTTGTGAAAATTAAGATTGATATGTTCTAAAAAAAATCTTATCACGTGACGCGCATAAAATATCCAACACATAACTCTGCCTGCAACTTAAGAAAATATTTCCATCATATAAAACATTAATATAAAGATTTGATTAATCAAACAGATAATAAAATATTCCATCATATATAGTAATATATACAGATTTGATGAATCGAACAGATCTCTTATTAAATTCCTCTTTCAAGCACATATATCATCATATTTCATAATATATCCGCGTTATAGTTTTAGTACCCGTGCCTTTGCATATTGCATGCATTCCTTCATCCGGCTGCTTTTCGTAACTGGATGAAAGCTCAGGAATGCATTATATACATCAAGCATTTCAAATACTTAATAGTACTATGTCTCTCGTGTGCAGTAATTATGCACGTTGCTATGCACAATTTTGATGCATTATTTCAAACTTGTTTCCATCTATATAAATATAGAATGAAATATTAACGCAATTTAACACGATTGATTAAATGTTTATTTTGTACTTAAGGTTGCAAAAATTCATTAAAATTTGATAAAACGTTTTGTTTTATTTCTATTAGATCGTGAATTTTATATTAACTATACGTTATAAAACCGTATAATTATAGAGAAACATTTATACTAATGAAGCGATTATATTAATAAGTATTTGTGCAAGATCCTACCATAGCTCGTACATTTTGTATAAGCGCATAGAGAATGAGATATTTTCCGGAATTCGCATTCCAAGCTGGTGGGAGCATAATTCCACATCTCTATTCAGTGGCTGCGGCAACGACGATTATTGCAACCCCACGAGTTAAAGCCGAAGCTATTCAAACGGCAGAATTAGAGGGCCGCAAATTAGTGGTCTTTATTCCTTTTGTTGTAAGCCGCTTTTATTTCATCTAACATTCACGAATAGCGAAAGTGCAGAAACGTGTAAATCGTAGAATCAAATTCGTCTACAATTATATACAAACGAAAGAAAAAAAGGGAACGATCTCTATACACAATGAAACGCTGCCAGCTGCCTACGAACGATTACGAATTTTCAGACGAACGTATGGAGAAAAGTGAGAGCTCAACGGGGTTGCGCAGTTCCTAGAGGCCGAAGAGGTCACACCGCCTTGGTACATCGCGGACAAATGCTTATATATGGGGGTTATCAGGACTTACGTGGCAGCTCTTCCGAATTATGGGCCTTCCATTTCGGTAACGTCCTATCTCATAAATCGTTCATTCCTTAATAACCATATTGATTCTAGCAGCGGCTCTAATCCGCTCGATGTTACAGAGACCGAATCCTGGCACTTGCTCTCGTCAAGCGAAAGCGGACCGGCAGCGAGACACAAACACTCGGCGGTTTTACACGGTGACGCGATGTATATTTATGGCGGAATGACGGATCTACAAGAGAGGAACGACTGCTGGCGATGGGACGTCAACAGCGCTTCGTGGTCGTTGCTGAAGAACAAACCGGGCCCTGGGCCTCTTCATGGCCACGCAGCGTGCAGACTGCCGAGTTGCATGCTGATTTTTGGCGGCGAGAGCGGGGGTTTGGCAACGAACGAGCTTTGGAGATTCCATTTTGGTACGTAGTTATACATGATTTTCAAGATTTTGTAAATAAAGGGAAGAAGTATGAAATTGATTTTATCATTGTGTTTTGCTCTACCAAGTGTAAAAGTTAAAATAAAAATATATAGATTTAGTAGAAACTATATCTCTTATTAGATTGTTATTATAATTTTTTTAATATTAATTTAAACGTTGTCTACTTTTGAGAAAGACAAATATCCTTAATTAGTGCAGAAATAATTACAGTGACCTAACAAAAATTATAATAAAAAAATAATAAGGTGGATTTAAAATGTATAAACTGATTTAATATTTAAGTATCCAAGAAAAACTCTCTACTTATTATTCTTTCCTTTATTAATGCTTTAGATTAAGATTATGTAATTCATTAGCATTGTATTCATAAATAAAGTAACTAAGCAGATTAAATTTATATAAATTCTGCAGCATTTATTTGCTGCAGTAAAAAAAGGTATCGTAGATTTAAGAAGAAACTATGTAGATTTTAATCTTTTTTTTTTTATCTCTGTATACTTTTTCACGATTTTTAATACAAATGAATTATTTCGACAGGCACTGAAACCTGGGAGAAGTTGTCAGTGCCAGGACCGAAACCGCAGCCACGAGCGGAAAGCGTCGCCCTCGCGGTATCTGAATTATTGATTCGCGGAACAAACATGGACAATCCGAAACCAAGACCGAGGAATCAGAGGCCTAGGCTTTCGAGCAACAGAATATCGCCGAACGAGATACCTTCCGCCCGCCCGAGCTTTCTCAAGGAAATCTCCAAATTATCGCAAATAAATCTATCGCGGCTCAGTCATCCGACGAAATGTAGTTACACGGTTCTCAGCGGACACGACGATCATGAAGAGAGCCCACAAGAGGTATGTCCGAAATAAACTATCCAAATATACAGGGTGTTTCTAAAAACTATGTCAGAGATTTTAAGAATGTATTCTGGAAGACGAAATAAGAGAAAAAATTCCTACAAACATGAGTCCAAAAATGCTTTCTCTCTGAGTTGTAATCGAAAATTGTTTTGTAGCTCTCTTGAAAAAGTCTTTCTCAATTTGTAAAAAAATGTCCGAAAGCTATATACAATTCATTTTTGGACCCATGTTTGTAGGAACATTTTTTTCTCATTTTGACTCCTAGAATACACCTTTAAAATTTCCAGCATAATTTTAGAAACATCTCGTATATTAAATAGACGTTAAGCATTTGTATCAATTAGGCCTGCGCGCAGGCAAACACGTATTATCCTTTTCAGCAAGTGGACATCGAAGTCGTGGAACCTTCCACGGGGATGGTGAAGTCACGCAGTGCCAACACGCTGGCCCGCCGAAGGCAAAAAGTGTCGGAGGGAACAGTAAGAACGATTGACGTCAGCAATACTAGCAATACTTCTGGTATGACCAGAGATCCTATTTCGGTGCCAAATTTTCGTGCTTTGACATTACCAACGCCCGTTCTCACGCCTGTAGAGGCCGCTAGATTAGTCTTCGTAGATCCGGACGAGAACAGCGACAACGAGGAGCGGAAGGACCCGCCTACATCGAGACTGATCGAGGTTCAAGAAGAGAGGCGGTAATTATCCCCGCATAATAATCCCATAATGAAATATCCGAATTCTAACTACGTCATTACATCTGTCACAGAGATTTCGCGGCGGTGCACCAAGCTTGCCAGCCTACCCGCGGTGACAGCTACAGTTCCCACCTTTACGAAGCCGCCCTACAAACACCGAAGACACCGACGACGACGAAGATTCCGACCTCGGCGTCCGTCAGATTCGCCGATCTCGAGGAAGGCGAGGAGTCGACGTCGGATTACGCGAGTATCGAGGCGAGAAGCCCGGGCGATCCGCTCGCGGACGACGACTGGCTATCCGGGAAGAGATCGAAGCCTCACAGACCGATCGTCGCCTCGTCGACGATACGGGAGGGTCAATTCGGCTTCTGTAATCCGAATTATCTTGGTCTGGACGAGACGAGGAATCATTATCACCACCATCACCACCATCATCACCATCAGCAGCAACAGCAGCAACAGCAGCAGCAGCAGCAGAAGGAACAGCAAAAGGAACAACAGCAGCAGCAGCAACAACTACAAGATGGGAAGTACGCCAAGTTGCTCAACAGTCCGCCCGACAGCGTCCTGGAGGACGAACCCGGTAGGTCGGCTTCGCAGACCTTCGCCGAGCTCTTGGAGCTTCAGGAGATCAGAAGGGTGCCGCGGGCGCCACCGAAGAGCCTGCCGTTGAGTTCGCCGTCGAGAAGAGCAGTGAGCGCGTCGAGGGCCGAGAGGCAAAGGGCGAAGGTGGCGGCGGTGGACTCGACTGACGCGAAGACTCCCTCCTACGGGCCGGCGCCCTTGTATGTTTTTTTGGTAGGCGGCAAAGAAAAGGGTCAAGTCACGGTATTCGCCAGACCGGTCTCCCTCTGGAAGCTACAGTTGGCGCCGCATATCTTCTAAGGATGATTGATAGTCCGCTTTAGTTGAGTCATTCGCGCGCCGTTAATGATAAGAAGAAGCCGGATGCGAGAAGAGAGAGGTGTAGGATGATTAAGGCAAGCGTTCGGGCAGTTCAATTTTCGTTGATGTAGCGTTTTACAGAGATTCTGGGTTTTTTTCTAGATGACGTAAAATCGTCGCTTGATGAGATCGACTTTTCAAATGTTTATTCTCATTAGTTTGATTATTGGATATTAAAGTTGATTTTATATACTAATGTTCTTCGTTACGAATTTGTTTTCTGTATAAAATTGATTGAGATTGTTGACTCTTTTCGTTTTTGTTAAAGTTATGTGCTATTGCCATTTGAGTTGTACTCATATCCTTGTCAAAACGAAGAATCAAAGTATCGCGTTTGACACGCCAAAGAATAAAAATAATGTTTCTGAAAATTGCCGTATATGTATTAAAGCGCAAAAGTTAGAAATAAAATTTAAAGATAAATTTTATCGCGCAGAAAGTATAAAAACCTATCATAAAAGGATACGTAATCGCTGGTTGAGAAATATAGAGATGTTCATTTTTTTTTAATTCAATAATGCGCCAATAGATAGACTAATATTAGATAGATAATTATAAGTACGTATCTCTACAATCTAGAAATTAAAACAGGAAATTATTTCACTGCATTATACATCTCTTAATTTTTAATGTCATTATTTGTTGAAGATTGATGAATGTAGAAAACGTAGATTTTTTTTTCGACCCAAACAACTATTTCTTATATTTATTAATTCGGAGTTATGAATGTGTGCGTCAAATCTCTCAATATATTCTTTCCTACTGTTTATGAAACGTGAATATTTAAAATAAAAAGCCGTGAAACACAATACGAATCGTGAGTTCATATTGAACTGGCCGATTCGAGTGTTCTCAATGTGTTTTGTAAAAAGATAAATGTTCAAATAGAAGCGCAGATCAAGTCGATCGATTTTTTATCCTGCAATCATTACTGATAAAAATGCAATATATTGATACACTCTATCGTACCGCGATCCTATATTCATTAATATTCATCGTTCACTTTATAATATGTAATTCATTCTTAAGATGATAAGATATTAAACTTTCCAATCTAAGACTTCGAGTCTTAGATAAACGTAAACGTAAGTGAAAATCGATTAGCCTGATCTGCGCTCGACTGCCATCGAATGCAAAAACTCAATGTGCGGTAAAGTGTGAATTAGAATTATTAATGTCACGTTCGCAAAATAAAAGCTTATAAAATAGAACCAAAGATCTTGATCAAAATTTACGATCGACTCGTGATTGTTGCGCTTTAGAGATTATTATTTGACCGATTCTTCTATTCTCTGCAGTAAATAGATTTTTATAAAGAAATTCTAACTGTTTTTCTAATTTGAGAGCCAAATCAGTGAGCTGTAACTCTTTAGCAAACCGAATTTACTGTTCTTACGTATAATAGCTGAAGAACACATGCGAGAATTCGTGCTCTTAAATTAAAAGGTTACATGTATATATATAAATACAAAATATATATACATATATAACCTTAAAATTAGCAGATAATCTCCATCCATCAACTTTGAAAAAATGAATGTTTCAAAGATGCCAATAATTATTTTAAGTTCGTTTTAAATAATCTACAATTCGCGACAAAACTCAAGGCAAAATTCCATTTATAATTTTATGTATATTCGCATATTCTAATGTATGTATATTCTGAAAATCCATGTATTTTATATATGTGTGTATTTTATTTGTTTAAATGTTTTCTGTATTACAACGATATATAAGATTATAAATAGAATTTTGTCTCGAATTTTGAATCGTAAATCGTTACTGTTAGTACCTCAAATTTTTCAGTACGAGATCTGGCCATAGATGCGAAAAAAATTTCAATTTTTGAAATTATAGAAACTAAGTATCATTATTTATTTTATATTGTAAATATATATTTACAGACGTGATGTGGCAAAGCACAAATATTTTTTTCTGAGATAATACTGTTTTACTAGATGGAAAGACTTGAGAGAGTCACTAATATAAAAGAGAACGACTGTGTTCTAAAAGAGATTATAGTCGGTGTATTACACGTCAGCGGTTTCGCATTGAATCGCGAATCGATAAAATCGAAAGTCTTTATCGTGATTGTATCAATGATCGTAGTAAGTTAGTTTCATTAAGCATAATGTGTAAGTAGAGCAGATACGATGGCGAAGTATGATGGGGGCTCTCTTGTTCGTGTAGAGTTTTTATGCCCGTAAAGGCCCAACACATGTAATCCATCCATAAGTAGCTAAGGTTGACGTGGCTTCTCAATGGGCTAGATATTGAGAGATGCTTTTATCAGTGATCTTCGATGTAATATTTGATAGTCATTCTCTCTGTGACATTTTGTTCTATAATTTTTTATTTTAATTGTCGTATTGTTTATTATAAAATACTAACGATTCAACAATTATCGGGCAAGTGCAATGTTAGGATTGTTTATAGAACTGAATGCGCTTAAATAAAAATTTTTATTACAAACATCTCTCAACTGCTCATCGCAAAGCGACACAGTTATATCGCAAACTTTAAAAGCAGTCGCTGCTGAATTACGAAAGTTTGGTGAAAAGAATGAATTGCTCAAAAAATGTTTTACGTTTCTTCAGGAAAGAGTCTCCCGATATCTAGTCTCGGGCCTCGAATACCCGAAAAATCAATGTTTTCCATTTGTAGAGCTAGTCAATTACATCTCAGTGTACAAAAGCTAAATGACTTAAGCTGAATGTTTCGTACCTTCTTCTCACTTTACTGCATTTACTCTCGTATAGACATTTTCCCTCCGTCGACGTCTTATTTCCTACGATTTAGCGAGTCATTCACATTGTCGCGAAAAGAAGCTGTGAATTTATTCCACAATAAACACACACACACTATCATGATCCATCCGGAACACGTTTACAACAATCTACATATTCCTTCCCATGACTATCCGGTTACATCATCTAATGACGATTACATGCGATGCGCTGATTTCGCGAAAAGACAAACAGTAAACTTCATTATACCGTGTAAAAATCTCATTCAAGAAGTGAAAATAAGATGAAGTTAGCGTACTCTTTCTATAAGCTTAAAACACGTCCATTGGCATAATTTATATGCCGCCATACAAACTATCAATTGAGAGACAAACCTTCCTATATAGTTCCATATCACAGAGCGCAATATTTTTTCAAAGACCAAACTTTCGAATATATAGAGAGAGAGAGAGAGAAAGAAAGAAAGAGAGATGACTCTTATTCTTAATTATTGCTATGTTTAATATCAAGACAATATATACGCGAATGTATTATTGTTGTACGAAGCATCGGAAATATAGGCAGAAGAGTCGCACAGAGAAATGTATTTTAAAAAATATATTACATCAAAATTATTGCAGTTTCACGATGTAAACAAATGTTAAAAAAGACTGGATGTAAATGCAGATAATTTTTTCTATACTAATAAAAATTCTTATAAATTCAATATATGTGAAAAAAGTAAGATCTGTTGATATTTTCGGTGCTTGGCGCACGTATATAATGTAATAAGACAATTTCTTATAGCTAATTAGCTGCGACACATTATGCAAGTTTATTCTGCCATAAGATTGGATGAATGCGTTTACATAATGTGTATGCGAGCATAATCGTATAGTTATGATATTGTGTTCATTCAACCCTTTTCAATTTTTGAATGTCGATGCGAAAGTACGTGACAATTTCCAACCCCTTGGTTCTTGTAATAATTAATCTCTGATTGTATGGTAATCATCGGCAACGTGTTTAGTTCAACCGCATTGTAATTAATGTAACAGTTATTAATGGAACAGTATTACTATGATTAGAAAATACACTATATATAATTCGGTAATACGAAATTGTGTCATTTTATTAAGCAATTATCACATGCATGTTTTCCACTATTCTACGTTTTCATTTCGTATTTTGATGAACCGAAAATTATGTTTATTATTTCATACAAAATGCATAGCTATATAATTACGTGTTAATTTATTTAAAAAATCAAATAGAATTAATTGTGAGTCTTCGAATAATTTTGAAAAATAATGATATATATTAGAAAATTATTAAAATTAAAATTATTAAATTATATAAAAAAATTACCGACTTTTGATCAAGTGTTTAATGCTACATGCTATCGTGAGATAGCAGCAGTAGTTTTAAGGGCAAAAAGAAGGGAGAGTGAAAGGTGTATTCACACTGTAAGTGAAGAGCGAACGAATACGAATGTTTGTTGCTAGCAAAAGTTCAGGAGAAATGTATAACAATTGCGATTGGAATCTTTGTCAATATTCTATTCCCATTCATTCATAAAAAATACGACGCTGTATGGATGAGAATATAAGCTAAAATGAATATTAAGTAATGAAAACACGAGCAGACGACTGACGAACAAAATTAAAAATTCTTGCTATTTATTCCTCTGCTCATCAACTAGTAATTTATTCATGCAATATATATTTATTTCAAAAGATACTATCTTTCTAGTTTTAATCTAAAATCTTTGAACAAAGCGAGAAAACCTCCAAATCGCTGAAAAGTGCTGTCAATTTCTTTTTGTTTATTTCACGATAGAAAAGTGTAAAATAGACGTAATACACTTTGAAAAAAATATATATATGTAAATGTAATTTTTATGTCGCAGTACTATGTGTAAATATTGTATATTTTTTAAAAACATGATGATAAATACTAAAAAAAAAAAAAATTAGTGCAACATGTAATGTTATGGTTAGCGCAAATAAATATAATTTGCATTGCATGTGTGTGTCGCGTAATATTATTTTGTTAATCAGAAACTTTTTTGTGAAGAGGGGAAGAGGACCGATTTCCAGACAGAGAAGCTACTGAGATAACACAATAAATATAAGTGGAAAAATAATATTTAAATGCGTTTTAGACCCATGACATTTAAATGGTGTTTAAATCTTATATTATCATTTTTATTAATACTTATATGTTGCGCGTGTTTTCGATTTTTTTCTTAACGAATCTTTTTAAGTTTTGATTGCAGAATATAAAAATATAAAAGAATAAAACCGTAAACAAAAAAAATTATTTTGTATTCATAAGATCTATAAATTCAATTTTAATTTAAAAGCAATTTGACATTTACTACTTTTTGCTCAGAAAAGACGATTTAACGATCACCGAATTTAACTTCGTCACAAGAAATGGGCTTAAGGATTTAACCGATGACAAAATCGTGGAACATAAGAACGACAAGGTGCAAATGTTCGTTTTCACCCCCAGATGAGAGTCACAAAAGTCAGGTTGCGTAATGAAGACCGTCAATGGCGGCGGTACGCTTTGACCTACGGCTAAATTCTCACGCTCAAAGAATTCGGCATCAGTATAAGTTCAAATTTACTTTTCGATCTCTTTTTTCCTCATCCAACCGATATGTCGACGCAACAGGTCGTATTGTGTCGAAGTGTCGTTTCTTCGAAGTATGAAATCGCCGCGCGCACCAGGACACTTTCGATGCGCGGCTTTTATAAACGCGAGGAAATGCACAAATTTATAGGCCTTCTCTAAAAGTCTGACACCTTTTGCTTCTCAGGTAAAACGAACCACTCAGCCTCGTTTCTATCGCGCGAATGGTGATGGAAATTCCGAAAGTCGCGTCGAATCGTTTGTCGGAAGGCTCGCTAAACAAGATGCTGAGCTTACGTTTCTACCCACGCGCGGCTTTTCACCGAACATTTGTTAACAGAATCAAAAACAAAGATCGAGTGCCGCCGGTCGATTATTAAAACCTGCGATCGGCCAGTCCCTTGTCTGTAAACGACGCGTAACAAATGGACGATTGTATATTCCGTCACGGCAGCCTTCCTAGAACAGTGCTTGATCAACATTGTTCTGGTTCTAGTTCGCGAGATGATTAATGAGTTCGGTTTGTGTTCCTTAATGTGTAGAGGCAGCTCGAATCGTGCTCTCGCAAAATTTTATTATATACTTCTAATAGAGATAGCGAGGAAAAATATATGCTTAAGATGATATAATAATTGTATAATGGCTTTTTTAAACATACTTTTAACTTAATAAATATTCAAATTTTAAACTATTAAGAATGTATTAAAAGTATTTTCGTATATGAAAATAAAATATTTACAAATTTACTTTTTTTCTTTAATAATAAATGCAATTATATATAAGAAATATTTATTTATAAAATATAATAACTGAACTTGATTAATTATTAAAATAGCTTTAAAAAATATATTAAAACTTTTATTAATATTTGAACTTTTCAGACTTATATATATATATCTTTAATGCTCTAATCTTATCTTTAAGTTCTTGTTTACAAACCATAAGATTATCCGAGTTTTCTAGCAACGTGAAATTGAAGGAATGATCCATAATCCTCTTTTGACAAGTCAAACATTGTTTCGTTGTCAATGTGATCGATGCCGCATTCCTTGTTTTGAAATATACATAAGTAAGTAGATCGTATTATGTGAGTATTCAAATATCTTCAGCCGATTAGAGGTTTAGTTGCTGTTAAAAAGCTATTTTTATTTTTTTTTATCTCTTTTTCTTTCTCGTGCGCGCGCGATTTCGTTTCTTTTCCTAGCAAGAGCCTTTCATTTTTCAGGGTTCTTTTTCTATTGATTAATCCATCGCAGGTGAAAATCGCACCCCCCGCATACAATTTTCAAAAAGAACATCGCCGAGAATAAGCCATATACAAAAGTGTTTGGAAAGACTCTAGATTCTTTGAAGACGAGCCGACCTATTGTGAGACTGTCAGAATAACAACTGTCATTAAAAGAAATGTCATCATCGAGAACCTCTGTCATCACCGAGAAACACGGAGAAATGTGGCAAGAGAAAAAATATATTCTGATAATGCAGCTGGCAACGGTCAGTAAGTAGAAAATAGGAGAAAAAAATAACAGGACATTAAATATTTTAATATGTTTGTTATAAATATTTACTACATGTAAAATAACTTAAAAAATTTGTATTTCTAATTTCAAAAATATTTTATAAAAATTTTATATCTTTCTTTTGTTTTATTTTTTTCAAACAAAAAGAGTCAATAATAATTAAAATACAATCTAATATAACTATATTAAAATAAAAACTTATTATGCCCTATACTGAATCTTTCCCTATTTCATTTTCAATTTGATAAATTCTGATTAGCAACTGATCATTATTTAATTACACCGCCAAACGTTTTACATTTTGTCGGCGAAGCAGTTGGTCAGAAATTAGAATGGTTCTCTGCAGGACGGACGAGAGAAAAAGGAAAGAGGGAGAAAACATATTTCTTTTCGATCGTATAACCGTCTTTTTCGGCACTCTTTTATGAATCAGGTCGTCGTTCTCAACATATAAATACGATTATGATACGATTTCGTTTTCAAGAAACCGTATACTTCCGAAAAAGCGTGTTTTCCAAGAGTCGCTACATAATTTAAAAGTGTTTATGGTTTGCCTAGAAATCGGTTTGCTCAAAGACCGTCTGTTATTAATACCATGTGGTTGCATGCTTTACGAGTTGTTGAATATAAAAGAAATTCCACCTGTATTTTTGATTCAAGAAGATTTTAAATTAATGCGGCAATTTTTGATCGTTAAGGAGTTGCAACACGATGAAGAATCCCGCTATATCTGTCGCAAAATAAACACAACTTATACTAAATCGAGACAAACCTAATATTTTCAAGTATTAGAAGTTAATATATTCAAGAAATGCACAAATCTCAGTTTTCTATTGTTGAGAAATAATTTTCCTCTAAATGCTTACAGTTATCATAAAAATTTTAACTAATTGATTAATAAGATTCTAACTCAATTTTGATCTGACAATTTACATCAATTTTATAATAATGCAACTTTGATAAAAAATATATTTTTTTGCTTTGTCACAAGATTTAACATCGCTTGAATTCTTTTAAATTCTTAGCATTCTATCTGTTCTTCTTCACAATGCAAATATTTTCTTTTTATTTCGAGTTTCCATTAAATTTTGTTTGAAATGTATAAAGAGGATATAAAGTGGATATAAAAAGATGATGAATTTAATAATTTAGCGTAACGAGCCCCACGTTATCTTAATATACGTCAAAAAAAGAAAATTTTAAGAAGGATTTTCGGTTTTCAAATTTCATGAAAATATTATTTTTTGACATTTAACAAATAAGACTATTAATTTATGACCAATATTTCTTAGATTATGTCTTAATTATACTGTTGTCGTCATAAATCTTGAAAATAACTTTATTAGAAAGAAAAGTAAGTTGACAATGGCTTTATGCCCGAATGTCTTGCTAGGAACGAACCTTTATAAAAAGATGCATAGTACTGCTCAAAATTCAAAAAACCAATAAAACGATCATTAAAGAAGTAATGACACTTTTATCGCTTACCGAAAATGGCGAGAAAATTTCGTTTGTTCGTGATGCCGACAAAGTCAGGTAATCGACTATTATTTGGCATGTTTTACAACAAAGACGTCAAGCGGAGAGGATTATATTCAACTTTAGATTTCTAAAGTCTAAACGATACAATATGATTTTGAAGCTGTCTCGAGTTAGATATAAACTGTTCTGCTGTGTGATACATTTTTAATAATTTACTAATTATGGCATTTTTAATAATTTACTAATTATTTGCAATAATTTACTAATTGCTTGCAATTCGAAAAAAATCACATACTGTTTATCATGACTAAATATACTATATATTTTTTAGGGCCGATTTTTCCAACTTCTCGGTAAGTTTTACCTGACAGGTATAGCATATTTTCGTCTTTTTTAGATAAGTTCTAAAAAAGGACAAAGATATGCTACTTGTCGGATAAAACTTACCAAGAGTTAGAACAACCGACTCTTAATAGAGAAGACACAAAATTCCAAAAATTAACAATTATAAATAAAAATTCTTTTCTACCCTATAAATCGTCGCACATTTATTATATTCTTAATTTAATAATTTATTTCCTTCTTGAATAAAATCAAACAAAGTCAATTAATGTCGAAATTTATTCTCGATTCTCTACATATTTTTCAGATTTTTTGAAAATCTTATGTATTTGTTCAGCTTCCCTGGTAGAAATTGCCTAGCCGGTGCCACAACACTTGCTAGCACCATGCAAGTTTGCCACACTACAGCCTTATCTAAAAGAATTGGAAAGATACATATCAGGGCCATCCTTGCACCTGATATATAAATGGCGTGGTATTTATTATAAAGTTAAACGGCCGCAAGTCTGGATTTGACCAGACTTCTAATGCGGCCCATATTTGCAAACTTGTTTTTTGGATCCTTTCCTTTGCCTGGATTTTTTGCATGCAGGGAAATTGTTAAACGAGTATTTAGACGTCTACGCAAAAATTTGTGTGCATATATATAAATATATTGTTAAACGAAACTCTTCCGGGCCTTGTTTATTAACAAATAAATTTTTTTCTGTCGTAAATAATCTAAAAGTAAGTAACCATACTCATAATTTTTGGCACCAAACACAGGGACGACTGTAATAATAACTACAATTTTATCAAACATTAGAGACTTTAAGAAATTGGTCGAGAATAAGAAAAATTATACAAGAGAACAATTCGTCTTAAAGAGCTTATAATAGAAAGTAAAAAAATAATTGATTTATCTTTACATGACATTTTTGCCTGATATATATATTCTTTGTTTGGAAAATGCTCACTTTTCTTTTCTCACTCGTACATAAAATGATTAATGGAATACTTCATTGATGCAATGTGTTGTTCAAGCACCGGAAAACAATTATCTACTTCCGTTGTACGAGGAATATCTTTTTGATGTAACATGCAGACCAAAGTTAAATAGCGTTTAAACGTAATATATAATTTTTCTCAATTATCTCTCTTTGTAACCAGTCACAGCGGAAAATATTTTAATGTCCCTGACATATAAAATCCTGCACATTCTTAATCCTATAATTATTACAAATTTGCAAATTAATATTGAAAAAATAAACTAAAGATTGTGATTGATCATTCGAGAAACTACATATATATTGGAAACTAAAATCGACGATACACGCTATGTCTCTTTTAGTTATATCGCATGCAACCTACTAGAAATACATCATACAGTCTTTCTAACAATTTATTAGCTCGCATGCGATCCAGTAGGAAAAATCGCCGTATACCGTTAGAGTTTAATATCATATTCTTCCTTTAATAAGTATATAATAGAGATGCAACATTCCAAAAATACTAAACAGAAAGTCTAAAATTTCTTCCCGCCCAAAAGTATGCGCGTCGAAATATTATATATTTCCCTCATATTTTGAAATTCGTTGTCGAAAGTGTATAACGAATAAACAAACAGTTCCATTTTTCGGCTTATGAGATAATTGTCCCTGGCGTATCCGATGAGAGGGCTGAGATTAACTTCTCAAACTTGAGATTTAAATCGCTCGGCCATGAAAATGTAACGCCTCGCCGAGGTTCGCCGCGCGTACACGCACGCATAAAACGCGCACGCAAGTATATATATTCGAGAGAGGGTAAAATAAAGAGAGCGAGATGCACTCTGTACGAACGACCATTGGCCATCGTATAATTACGTTGACGTACAAGTCCCGTGCGATGGCATTCGCATCTTTAAACGGAGCGACATTGGGCGCGCAGGACCGCTAATTAAACCCAAAAGCCTCATCCGTTAATTAAATCCGAACGATTAAGCTTATTCCTTCCTCCCTGCCGTCTTACTTCTCCCTTCTGTTCCTCACCCCGTTGCCGTCTTTACCGATAATTATTACCTACCGGAACGGTCGCCCTTCGAATCTTGGGCGATCATCAAAACGCGAGGTTTTGCTCAATCGCTATTTAAACTCAATACGTATGCAAAATTTATTATTTTCAAGAAGAAAAGATGAGGAGAGACAGACAATTTTTCATCATTTTTTTTTTGAAAAATAAAAAGAAAAAAATATCAATTTTTTGAGACTGATTTTAAGTCCCAAAGTAATTTACTTCGGCTATTTAACCTACATAAAATGATGACTCGTTATGGATAAGACTGAATTGAAAATCGCTCCAAGCTTTAAATTCTTATTTTATTCTCAAAGAAATGCATTGCTTTAAGACTTTAGTATAAAGATGTGGCAATCGCAAGGATTTTTATATTAATATCTTTATGTTCTTTTTCAAAATTTGATGACCGAAAAATGTCTGTGTGCACATGCGTAAAAAATTTACTCCTACCTTATGAAGACCATCTTCACTTCGCTAAAGGATTTTCTTGCTCGATAGTACAATTCGAAAATTCGCAGAATTTTGTGCAAACTTCTTCGCTTGTCATCCACCTTCGCATCTGAAAAAAAGAAAAATAAATTCAATCATCATGAAAAACAAGACAGCGTAAAATAATCAACGAGACTAGAGACAAAATTGATTTCAAATCGTTAGAGATATATATAGGTTTAAACTTTATATAGTAATTTGATCCTTTCTCAATGTTTCAGTTAATAATTGTAAATTAATTATTTTCAGGTTAAAATTGATAATAAATTCAATACCATAGTAAATAAAACATTATTATATGTGCTTCAGATACTATATATATTTATATATAGTGTATATGTGCTATGTACGCGATTAAGAAAATGTATCGAAAAGAAGCAGAAAAATATCTTTCAACAATTCGACAATTTATGGCATATTCACAAGTTAGTCTTAATATATGCATGTGTAATCACGTGACAATTATACAGCCGACACATTTAGCCGACCTCTAGATATCCTAGAATTCCATTTTTGAATTTCTAATTTATGAAACACTGAAATAATGTCTGTCTAAAAAGAAAATGTAATTTAAGCCATTTAAGAAAGAAGAAATAAATCCCGAATTAGCGTATTTGAAAATTGTGATAACATTTCCACGTATATAACGTGTCTTGACAAAGATGGATATTTCTTTAGACAATTTATAATCAATCTTTGTTTATTAACAAAAATTAAAATTTGGACTTGGAATTAGATTTAATTTAACAAAATTGCGAGCACATTATTATTTTATGTTTCACGGATTTTGAAACTATAGTTCATGGATTATTATTTTACATATATGTACTTGCCAAAATTTATTTTCTACTTTATTTAGATACATGTATATATAAAAAACAAAACAAAATAAAATAAAAACACGAAAATCACATATTTCAACTACATATTTTAAATATGAAAAACACGTTTGTCAGTTCACAATTTGTTAAGATAATAAGAGGAGAAAGAAGCGATCGGATATTATTTATTGTTTTAGATATGTATATTATTTGAGAGTTTAATAAAAAAAATATTTATATCATAGAAGAGTTTTCTCTTACTACACGCGCAGTTTACTTAAACCTTCGATCCACAGTGACATCTTTTCATTTTGCACGCCCTAAATTTTGAAAGAGACTACTTTCGATGTTCTCATAGATGCTTATAGCGAAGCGAGAAAGAGGGGTCGTACCGTAAAAATTCATATAATAACGAATCGCTCTCCCGTGTATCAGATTCTCTTTTGACATCTTCCTGTCATTCGATACACCGCCAGCCCTTCGTCCCGCCCAAGCGAAGGGATCAACCGAAAAAGTAAGCGCCCTAGAAACATCTTGCATTCTATACGTCTGGCAAGTGTTTCGACTGCAATCGCAGATAGAAAAGCCTTTCGCGTGGCGAGGTGTTGCTATTAAAATCTCTAGCGACTCTTCAAGTATCCCAAAATAAAGTGAACAAAATATTAGCATACGGCACGTGAGCGCTCTTTTCCTTCCACATGATATACAATTGTTTCCAGAATAATTATTTTAGAGACTTACAATTTTGATAAAATTTTCATAAATAAAATAATTTTAAAGGAGTGTAGCAAATTGGAGAAATGTTGTGGCACAAAATCAATCGTCATGAAACTTGACACAGACATAGGAAAGGTAAAGTATGAAGAATTGAGTGGCTCTCAAAAATTTGTCCTTTCGCGTGGCAAGGTGTTGGCTATTAAAATCTCTAGCGACTCTTCAAGTATCCCAAAATAAAGTGAAAAAAATATTAGCATAAGGCACGTGAGCGCTCTTTTCCTTCCACATGATATACAATTGTTTCCAGAATAATTATTTTAGAGACTTACAATTTTTGATAAAATTTTCATAAATAAAATAATTTTAAAGAAGTGTAGCAAATTGGGGAAATGTTGTGGCACAAAATCAATCGTCATGAAACTTGACACAGACATAGGAAAGGTAAAGTATGAAGAATTGAGTGGCTCTAAAAAATTTGTCCTTTCGCGTGGCAAGGTGTTGCTATTAAAATCTCTAGCGACTCTTCAAGTATCCCAAAATAAAGTGAAAAAAATATTAGCATACGGCACGTGAGCGCTCTTTTCCTTCCACATGATATACAATTGTTTCCAGAATAATTATTTTAGAGACTTACAATTTTTGATAAAATTTTCATAAATAAAATAATTTTAAAGGAGTGTAGCAAATTGGGAAATGTTGTGGCACAAAATCAATCGTCATGAAACTTGACACAGACATAGGAAAGGTAAAGTATGAAGAATTGAGTGGCTCTAAAAAATTTGTCCTTTCGCGTGGCAAGGTGTTGCTATTAAAATCTCTAGCGACTCTTCAAGTATCCCAAAATAAAGTGAAAAAATATTAGCATACGGCACGTGAGCGCTCTTTTCCTTCCACATGATATACAATTGTTTCCAGAATAATTATTTTAGAGACTTACAATTTTTGATAAAATTTTCATAAATAAAATAATTTGAAAGGAGTGTAGCAAATTGGGGAAATGTTGTGGCACAAAATCAATCGTCATGAAACTTGACACAGACATAGTAAAGGTAAAGTATGAAGAATTGAGTGGCTCTAAAAAATTTGTCCTTTCGCGTGGCAAGGTGTTGCTATTAAAATCTCTAGCGACTCTTCAAGTATCCCAAAATAAAGTGAAAAAAATATTAGCATACGGCACGTGAGCGCTCTTTTCCTTCCACATGATATACAATTGTTTCCAGAATAATTATTTTAGAGACTTACAATTTTTGATAAAATTTTCATAAATAAAATAATTTGAAAGGAGTGTAGCAAATTGGGGAAATGTTGTGGCACAAAATCAATCGTCATGAAACTTGACACAGACATAGTAAAGGTAAAGTATGAAGAATTGAGTGGCTCTAAAAAATTTGTTTATGCAACAGAAGACTGACAGTGGGAAATTGTGATATATCAATGATAACCGAAGATCACCGCACTTGCATACATTCAGTTTACCAATTGTCAACGATCATTTAGTGGGTTATTCGTGAACACCATTATTCTATTACCAAAATGAGATTCTATACAATCCAGCAGATCCATTTTCAGCTTTTTGACCACTCGTTTAGTCATGCGATTTAGATTCCTTCATATTTTACATTACATTATCTAGTGCATCAAGTTTCATACGATTGGTTTTGTTTGCCATCACAAAATTTTCCCAATTTGATACACTCCTTTCCCCTGCACCCTGTGAAGAAAATCGCAAGGGATCAAATGGAAAAATCTGAAAAATCTACATCACGCATGACTGTTGTTTATTCAGGATGACAGTTCATATGACAGCGTACGTGCACATGGTGCGTCTTCTTCGACCCGCTGTCGGTAGATGGAAGCACGATGAATGGAAGAGGTCGACGTAGCGCTATTAAGGGGGCGGCGCGCCGTGCAAACCCCCTTGGCCCCTCGGTCTGATGGAGGATTCATGGCTGGCACCAAGAGAGAAAGAGGTGAACACACAGGCGAACGGAGGTAGAGGCAGTGACGGTGGCGGTGGCAGAGACAGAGAGAAAAGGAGAGACATCGCCGAGGATGAACGAGGCGGAGGACGGAAAGGGACGCGAAGGGTAGCAGAGTCGAGAGGGGTGGAGAGAAGATACGAAAATGGAGTAAAGGAAAAAAAAAAAGAGCTACCCGACTGCCGGGCAAATTATAGGGAAAATCGGGGTGGCGCCGCGTTACCGAGAGTAGAGGAGAGAAGAGGGCGTATAGCCGTTCGAAGGAGAACGACGACGAGGTGGAGAAGAGAAGAGAGAATGGAGGGGCCGGAAAGGGAGGAGGGGTGGCGCCACGGCAATTCCGGACTCGCGTTCAACGTTCCCTGCCGGAGTTAGCGAGGGAGCAGATGAAGAAGAGGGCCCCGGCGCGCGAGTCGCGAAACTCTCTTCTTTTCCCCTCGAACGTCTTCCGCGCCGCGGTAATTGACGCAAAAGTGACGAGAGAGAACGAGGGAGAGAGAGAGAGATAGTGCGCGACGGAGGGTGAGGCGAGAGGAAAGACGCGGAGAGCGAGAAAGAGACAGAAGGAGGGGGTAGGCACACAAGTACAGTACACGCACCTCTCTCTTACGTGTTACGTGCGGTCAGTGCGAGAGGCTGCGACGTGCCGCGAGCATGCGTCTGCGACGGACGGCCCTTAAGGCGAACGAGCAACACGCCGACTCGCCTTCGTCATCGTCGTCCACGTCGTCCTCCGTCGCCGTCGTCGCCTTTCGATCGCTCGCGCATCGTCCACCGCGAATGCTCCCCTCGAACTAGGGACAAACCCAGGTAGTATATATCTAGAGATCCCTCGCGCCGATGCGTCCTTTCGTGGCACTGAACCGCAGAAAGAGAGCAAAACAAAGGTCGCGATATATATAGTGTCCGTGAACAAAATTGACGCACCTCAGTGGACATGAGGCCCGATGACAGGGGGTGCCGCGTGTCGACGCTCTGCATGCGTCGAGGGTACACTACTTGTGCGAGTATTTCACGAGTGCCATTCACCCAGTGCGCTTGTTTCCTTGACAGCCGATTGCTCGAGAAGAGGCTATTCCGCACGTAACGTCAGAAACGTCTAGCCGTTTTGCGTATAAATATATATATATAAAATCGAACACAAATTTTCACCCTCCCGTGAGACAATATAAATCTATAAATACTCGAGAGGAGAAATCCGTCTCGGAGCAAGTTCAGACTCCGATTCGTCGGGATCACTCGAGAGATGGAGTCGTGATCGAGACACCAAAGAGATCGGGCCGCTTGCGTCCCCTAGTCCTTGACGTGAATTCGCGCGTTTTCAGGATCGCTCGAGCGGTTCCGACGTGGGACCGGCTCGGATTCGTCCGCATCGGCAGCGCTTAGGCGAATCGCCAAACTGGACGCGGAGGTCAGCGGCGGCGGCACTGGCGGCCGCAGGGGTGTCAGCCCGACACCCCTCAGCAGTATAAACGTGAGTCTCGTTCTGATCATACACAGGAATCTTCCCGGTCCTTCCGAATTTTATGATCTTAACATATATTTTACTGAAA